TGTACTGACTTAGGAAGAGTTTTGCCCATCAAGAAACTCTTAAGAAGTCCTTATTGCATTAGGTTTATAACTTCTAATCCACAATTAAATAGGAATCCTTTTAGCTCTTATATTAGCCTTAAAACACTAACTTAAATAGAGCTGCAGGTTTAGTTGCACTTGAACTCCTAATTGATATCAAGTCTTAGAATCCTTTGATGATTATAAGACCACACTTTAATGGGTTAGACATCTACACGTCTAAGCTTCTCCCACTTGGTCTAATGATCATCAAGAACTCAATATCAATTACTGTAAGGCCTATGGAATTCAATTCAACTATAATTCCTAATCAAGTCACTGTCAATCAAAAGAACAAGCATAGAACTATTAAGACTTATTGAACATTTCAATATTTCAAGGTCTTTATACATATGGCATTGGTGATCTAATTAGTCAGAGTGTATGATCTTCACCTAGACGGTTTGTAGAGGAGCACATGCCAACATGAGTAGTTATTTGCACGACACCTATTAAGATATTTCCGATTTTCACAAAACCCCTAAGATTTTAGATATTACACTAGTACCTCATGAGGTTTCAAATATTATTAAAAAAAATTATTTTCGTTAATTTTTGTAAAAAATTGCTGATGTCTTCACAAAATTACTTCGAATGATAAAAATAACCTCAAAGATTAGAGGGTGTATGGGTCATCTAGTTTTTAAAGTTAACTTTGTCATTTGGAGAAATCTTTTAATGATATAAGTAATTTTTGAACGGAAAATTAACAAGAGTGATCTTGTAAAAACAATTTAAAATATTAGAAAGTGTAAATGTAATTTCTCAAACCTTAAAAGAGTTTTATAAAAAAAGGAAAGACCTAATAAGGTGCCAATGTAAATAACTCATTAAACAAGAGCCTTTGAGCCATGCTGAAGTTTTGAGCGAAATTTAGGAAAAAACCCAAAAGAAGCAGCCAACTCTCAAAAACACCCAAAATATTTCCAAAATGGCAAAAAAACCCTTATCTTAAGCACCAAAGACATGCATATCCTTTGCCTTTCTCTCTTCCGTCAAAACCAAAGCAACATGTGAAGCCTTGTCCTTTTTCCAGCAGCAGCAACAACAGTATATCATAACATACTTTTAAGAGCTTTTGTTTGTTTGTACATATGAATCTGAAATAATTATGTGAATCCGTTGGCTTGTATAGTGTGTGCATGTGAAGTTCATATGAAACTTCAGAGAGTAAGAGAGATAGAGAGTTTCAGATGGAGAAGAACTCTTCTTCTCATCCTTAGCTTCTTCTTTTCTTCTCATCCTTAGCCATGGTAGAAGTCGGTGTAATTTGTGTATATAGCTTGTAACTCCGGAGAAAGAAGTACAGAACACCAGAGAAGAAAAAATCTCAGTACTTCCTCCTTCAAGCTTTCAATCAATAAAACTCTCTTTGTTCATATACTTTCTCTTATCCACTTATTATAGTTCTTACTCCGACCATTATTAATACCGTCGACCACTGTTTATACCCGATGATAACAGTAGTTCCAGCAACATAAGCAATTAAGTAAGTCATTTTTCTCTTTTATTTTTGGTTTTCTTAGTAGACTTCTTGTCCAAAACAGGGAAACACTTTTCATAATTATGTTATTATCTTGCTAAACTGACGATCAATACTTTGTTTGAGCACTTGGTCATGTTTGATATTTGCCATAACAATAATTGGATTTCTGTCAGGGAACCTCTGAGTTCTGCTCCATAGCCCTTTAAGTTGGCGTCTTTGCAGTTCCATGTTCTAGTTCCATGTTCTAGGCATGGTGTCTGGTTGTTATTTTGGCCTTTAGAAAACCTTGACCGAGCCCCGCTTGAAAATGGTATCAGAGCTTTAGTTTAGCACCTTAATAATATAGTTATACCAGTAAAGTACCTTGAGGATAGAAGTCAACCAATACAACTGATAAAAACCAACGTTTTATAATCTGTTAAAATTTTGTTAATTACCAAAATTACCAGTTAAAAATAGTAAACTCTTTGCATGTTTGGCCCTTGGTGGACACCTATTAGAATAAAAGAAAGGTTGCAGGAATTAAAGAAACGGAAAGCATAATACCAAATAGAAATTAGGAATCTAGAACAATTAATAAGATCACTAGAAGTAGATAATTATCCTAGAAGAAAGTTAGAAGTCCAGAATAGCATAACAAGAAACCAGTACCATTTAGAAGTCTGTAAAGACTCAATAGAAGCTTTTCAGGAGCATTTAGGCATCTTAAAGGAAAAAGGTAGACTTAGATAAATTTTATGATAGAATACCTTAATTTAGAAATCAGTGAACAACAAAAGAAAAAATTAACTCTAGATAATAATACATTAGTTTGTTATTTTCCACAAAAAGAATATAAACATCTATTACATAGCAGTAACAGTCCCTTAGAAAATAGTATTATTGACCTTTTAATTAGTCAAGTAGAAAGTGTAAAATTTGAACATAACAAAAATAATAGGATAATCCAACAGTTACTAGAATATTTTCAGAAAAATTCCTTAAAAACAATTAGACAAAAATTAGATTATATAACATCCCAATTAGAAGATAATAATAGGAATATCCAAAGATTCCCTAGCAAGAAAGAAATAAAAGAACTCATAGATCTTATAGATAGTAAGCCAAAACAAATAGAACTCCAGTCATTAGAAATTATTGAACAGTTAAAATTAGAAGTGCAAAAAATACAGTTAGTACAAAAAACATTAACTGAACAAGTAGAAAAGCTACATAGTAAAATAGATAGACTTTTAGTTTAATGACATATTCTAAAATTAATAATAAATATATCAAAGCATTAGAAGAAGTTGGTAAACTAGATAAGGAACCAGTAGGTCTCAAAGACTTTACAACATCTGTAGTAAGTAGTAATATCCTTATTAGACAAAATAATTTAATAATCCAATTAATTTTAAATTTAGCTGAAAAAGTAGACCAGTTAGAAGAACAAGTAATAGAAATTAATCAAGTAGTACACAATACCACTTCCACACTACCCAAAGACTTAGTTGATAAATTAGAAAATTTAACCTTAGGAAATAATCCTCATAGAAGAAAAAGTAGAATAAATCCATTTGATAATAGTAAATGGAACTCTTTAGAAGAAAAGGAAAAGAAATAGTTAGAACAGAAGATATATACCCTAATGAACAAGAAGCACAAGAATTTCTTAGAAAAGGCTTTGAAAAATCTCAGAAAAATAAATATAATTTATATCAATTAGGAAGATTTGAAAATAGGCATAGTATTGTAAGTAGCATCAGTCAACATGAAGTAAGCTGTATAGATAAAGAAGTAACTCTTAATTTACTTAGTAACACAACGATAGAACATCTTAAAAAATCACACTATCAACAAATTCATATAGGAACAATTATGATAGGAATAGCTGCACTCACTAGAGCACAAGTAGGAACTAAAGCACTAGTATACATATATGATGACAGATGGGTTAACCATCAACAAGCAGCTATAGCTACAGCAAAAGTAGATCTTAGCACAAACTTAGCAGTCATAGGATGTATTCCTAATTATGTCATGAATATTATAGAATTTAGTAAACACATTAAAATTAGTATAAGAACAAAAAATTATAATATGAAAGATGAGTACAAAAATTTAAGCATCAGTCTTATGTATGTAGGAAAAATTTCAGATAGTTATAATTACAAATTTAATGTAGAATTCCAAAATTTAGTACAAACTTTTGGTAGTAAACATGTTAATATGATAGAGGCAAAACTAGTAGATAATAGTTTTTTTAGAAGGAACATAATGGATTTTACCTAATTTACAAGTAGCAAAAAATAAACAACCTGATAAGGCACAAATTTTTGAAAATCGTATAGGTGAAGCAGTAGTAAGATTTAGTAATTATAAACAAATAAATGATATAGAAGACTTAGAAAGTAAATTAGAAGAAGAAATACATATGGCGTTTGATAACTTAGAAATAAACATGATTAAGCATAATTTTGATAATATAGTTGATAAACTCATAGATGACATAGATAATTTAGATGAAGAAGAATATATAGAAAAATATAAAACTTATGATTTAGGATTACATAGATTATCAGATAAAGAAATGAAAGATTTAATTTTAAATATAGGATTAGAAAATATTTTAGGAGAAAAAGAATATCAAAATATGTTAATTGAAGTAGAATGCATGCCAGTAGAAGATCAGTATAGTTCATCTGGACCATTTGTAGCCCCTGCAAGTACAACAGATCAACAAAATCTTAGGCAAACTAATGAACCATATAGAGAAAATAATGAAGAAACCGGTAGAAATGCTTTTCAACAAGAAGCATTTGGAATAAGAAAAAATAGAATCCCTTATAAAGGAATTGAACAAATTAGTTTAGCAGGAAATATATTAAATTTAGATCATGGACCCACAGGATTGGGAAAAAACTATAGAAAGATGGGAAAAAGGATGTGTACATGCAGCATTAATGTTAGATGTTCGCGCTAAATCTGAACAGATAAGAGTATAGGCTAACTTACAAGTATGCTGATGGATGAGGACCGGGGTGACCTTCTTCCGTGATGTCCGAAGGTTCGAGCGGGGGCTGGATCCGAACTGAGGAGGGGATACCGGTGTGGTACCTGCCGAAGGCACTCCGATGCCAAAGTTAGTAACTAAGAGCGATTCTATTGACAGTGGAAGCACTAGTCAAGTCAGAAAGTCTTACCACTTGGCCGAGCCAAGGGGCTCTATTTATAGAGAGCATTTGTGATGCTCTTAGTACTCAGTTTCGATGTGGGACTCGTGGGAGAGTCTTCGGAGATCGACACGTGCTCTGACAGGTTCTGGCAGGAGTTCTGAGACGACTTGTCAGAGTTGGATTGATGTGACCATTGGTCGCTCGGCACACTATGCCGAAAGTTGGCGTGGGTAGTTGATGGACCGTAGATGATCCTAGAATCGGTAGAGAATGCCGAAGGAACATTCGGCATGGCCTACTTGAGCTGCTCTCGGCTTTAAGTGTGTTCCACGTGTCACGACATGAGTGGGTGGTCAGATATGGTACAAACATTAGATTTTAGTAATAATAAAGATATGTTAGATTACTTTGAACATACTTTAGATGGAATGGTTTTTGATTATTTTCAAGCATAGAAAACTAAAAATCCAAGAGAACATCAAGCAGCAAAAGAAATGTTTAATATAGATGCTTTTGTTAAATTAATTAAATATGAATTTTTAGATCATAACAGATTAGATGGTAGAAATGAACAAGAACAAATTAGAGCCATAAGAAATTTAGAACAACTACAAATTTGTGATTTGCAATATATTAGTGAATATACTTCAGATTTTTTCAAGTATTTAGGAAGAACAAGTAGAATTGATGATCTTAATCTATTAGATACTTATATGACAAAAATTAAAGGGCCAATAGGAGAAAGAATTTGGAATGAATGGCAGAAGCACCCTAGGAAATTAGATGTATCCATAGGAGCAAGAATACAACATGTATATGATATATTACAGTCAAAATGTAGTCAAATAAAAGCAAAAAGACAAATTAGAAAACAGTTTTACATGAGTTGTAAAAATATAGATTTACCTAAACAGTATGAATGTCATAGGAAATTTAGGCAGAAGAAGCCATGTAGAAAAAGCTATAGAAAATATAAACCTTATAAACAACAAAATAAAAATTTTAGAATACAACCTTCCAAAACTTTTAGAAGAAGAAAATATATCCCTAAACAATTTAGGAAAAGAACAAATAAACCATGGATTAGAAAATATAAAGTACCTAATAAAAGTACATGTAAATGTTATCTTTGTGGTGAAGTAGGACATATTAGACCTAAGTGTCCCCAAATTAGGAAAACAAGCTAGAGAAAAATTACAATTAATTGAGCAATTTCAACTAGAAGATGATGAGGACTTAGAATCAATCTACAGTATAGATGACAATTTAAGTGATAATGAAAGTATTTATAGTGTTAATGCCTTAGACTCAGAATCAGAATTAGATTATTCTAGTAATTCCGATAGTGAATTCGATGAACATATGTGTATGTTTGAAGAACAAATAGATCATGAAGAATTTAAATATGTTAATTTAGGATGGCCTCAAGAATGTAATAAATGTAAGAAAATAGTGGTAGAAAAATATTACACTAAGACAATAGTTTATTGTAAACCTTGTTTTAATAATAGACCAATAGAAATAAATACAGTTGAAATAGATAACAATAACCAAAAGAACAATTGCCCTAGTACAGAAAAATAGAAGACTAGTTCATTAATAACAATTAATTGTGAGTTAGAATTGTCAAAAGAAAATAAAATTCAAACAACAGTTATGATAGATACAGGAAGCACAAAAAATGTAATAAAAGAAGAGTTAGTACCAGAACAATTTAGGCAGAAATTAGATAGACCAATAAGAATTAGGGAGTTTCACTAAAACACCCAAAATGGGGGTTGAAATTATAAAAAAACCCAAGCACTATTTAAACATATAAACACACCCAAAACCCATCATTACACACTCAAAACCCATTTATAAACACACCCAAAAAGTTGACTTTGGGGTTGATTTTGGGTGTGTTTCTATGTTTAAATAGTGCTTGGGTTTTTTTATAAATACATGTCTAGGATTGGGTTTATTTATAAATTTGTATAAGAATTATACAGTTTGACACAAGACCTGTATACTTAACACATCGTATTAATAATATACCAATTAGGATAGAAAGACAACAGTTTAATTTACCCTTAACCTTTATATCCCCAGTAGGATCATATCCCTTTATCTTAGGATTAAATTTCTTAAAAAGTTTACAAAGAGGATTTTTATATACACCCCCAGACATTACATTTTTTAAGAAAGGTATAACCACAACTAATCAAAGTAATATATTAGAGTCTTATAATAGTATTAACATAGGATTAAATGATAATACTTATAAAGATAGTTATAAACTACCAAATAAGGATGAACTTATGAATAAAATTCAAGAAAGTAAATACTTTAGTAAGTTTGATTGTAAATCAGGATTTTGGCAAATTAGATTAGCAGAAGAATTAATCCATTGGACAACATTTACCTGTCCAGAAGGACATTTTGAGTGGCGTGTAATGCCATTTGGATTAAAAAATGCACCATCGATCTTTCAAAGAAAGATGGACCAAATATTTAAGAAGTATGATAATTTTTGTAGTGTATATATAGATGATATATTAGTTCATAGTAAAAATAAAAATGAACATAGAAAACACTTAGAAATTGTTTTGAAAGAATTTATTGATAATGGTATAGTTATAAGTAGAAATAAAGTAGAACTTGAAAAACAAGATATAGAATTTTTAGGTATGTATATTAAGTCAGGAACCATACAATTACAAGAACACATAGCTAAAAAAGTGTTAGAATTTCCAGATAAGTTAGAGGATAAAAAGCAATTACAAGCATTTTCAGGTTTATTAATTTATGCTAGAAGTTTTATCCCTGATTTATGAAGGAAAATTGCAGCTTTGCATAGCAAAACTAGTAAAACAGGACAAAAATATTTTAATAGTGAAGATATTAAGTTAGTTCACAGTATAAAACAAGATATAACCCAACTTAAACCTTTAGCATTACCATTAGATAATAATTACAAAATAGTTGAAACGGACGCATCATCAATAGGATGGGCAGGAATTTTATATCAAAAGAAACATAAGGAAGAACCCAAATATGAAGAAAAAGTTTGTAGATATGCATCAGGAAAATTTAATGATATACAGGCTAACTTCCAGCTACTGACTTAGAAATATTAGGAGTAATTAATACCCTTGATGCATTTTCATTATTTTACATAATGAAATATTTACTATTAGAACAGATTGTCAGAATATTGTTTCTCATTATAATAAAATTACTACTAATAAACAAGCAGCCCAAAGATGGGTCAATTTTGTTGATTCTATTACAGGAAATGGATTTAGACCGATATTTGAGCATATTAAAGGTATGGATAATACTTCAGCAGATATCTTATCCCATATTATTCATTAACAGGTATGCAGTATTTTGGACCATCATCATCTGGCAACAAAAATAATGGTACACCATCACCAAGTGGTAATCCATTAAGCATAAGTAATCAAGCACGATCAGTAGTAAATACTTATTTTTATAATGGAATATCAGTACAAGAAATTAGAAATCCTTCTTTAAAGTATCGTACTCAAGCATCACTAGCAGAAAAACAAAAAGTGCTTTTAGATAACTTTTGGAACATTAGAACTAATACTGAAAGCATGAGAAGAGGGCATGAAAAGCTTATTAGAGCCCTTGAGCAAGAGTTTTTAGCATATAATTATGACTATAAAATAGCAAAACAACACCTTTCTTTTTTGCAGGAAAAATATGCAGAGCAAAAAGGGGAATATGATACAATAGTTAAGCATTTTAGAATTATTAATTTAAGATGTCAAATTCTACAAGAAGAGGCTAATAAGCCCACCTTAATGGAGCATAATCTACAAGAAAAAGAGGCTAATAAGCCCAACTTACTTGAGCATAATAGTGAATTTTTACTTGAGCAAAAATCTAAAAATCCCTATTTTCTTCAAACTCTAGCTAGAGAAAGGTATAGATTTTTACCAGTAGATGTTAAGAGTCATATGATTAATTTAGAATATGAGCAAAATACATCTCTTCAACTTTATATTCAAGCTTTTCTTTTCAATTTAAAAAGTAATCCACATCCTGGCATCACAATTATTACCAAAAACTGTTCCCATTACACTATTTACTTAGCCAGCATTAACATGATTGAATATAGGGAACTGCATTTAGAGCATAAACAAAAAATAATTGTAGTTACTCCAACATTATTAGCACAATATGGTTATTTAGGGAAACTTTATATTGAAAATGGCGAGCATTTAGATTCGTTCTCCCAAAAATTTAGAGAAATTATAAGTTTTTATCTGTCTCTCTGAAAAAATGTAAAATTAGATTTCACTAGTATACCCCCAGAGTGGTTTAAAGATAGCATTTACCCAGATTTAGCACAGCATAGGATTATTATTTCTTTTGATGAATTACTTAGTCCAGGAGAATCAGCACAAATAGGAATGCCTACTAAGCAAGACATCCAACAATACAGAGGAGCAATAATAGCCGAGCAATAGCTATTTAATGATGATCGTCTGACCCTCCTGTACCAGTCCAAGTTTATCAAGGTGTATTCAGAATCCACATCCAGGAGACCAAATGATATATATGAATACATGATCAGCACTACAGGAGCAAAAGTTTTTTACGAAATCTACAACCAGATAGCAAACAGATTATATCACAAGATAATGACAACTGATACTGGAATAGCTTAGAAGAAGAAGAGCTACACAACATAGATAACATGATGGATGCATGAAGACCACGTGAAGAATCCATCCAGTAGAACAGCCGTCAAATTTCTTGGCTCCATACGGCAGCAACATATGAAAAGAAGAAAGGTTTCAGTTTCATACGGCTAAAGGATCTCCTAGGAAATCTAGAAAAGAATAAGGGTATTATTGTCCAACCACTTTAATTTTATCATTTTTTATAAATATTGTACTCGTTTTGGGTTTATTTATAAGTCTCCCAAGTTTTTAAGCAGAAATAATAGTTCATGAAATTTACATGCAAGCCCAAGCCCATTTCACAGTTTTCTCTTCGGAATTTCAAACACAGCACAGCGGCGTAGTCCTTTGCCCCTGACCCGCTTACCATCACTCACTCAGTCAGCCTCTACTTTCTCTCCACTTCCAGTCTTCTCATCCAAGTTTCGAACGCGGCACAGCAGTCTGATTCCCTCCCTCCCCATTGCGAGGTTATCTCATCAACTTTTTGTTTTCTGAATTGTGTAATTTTTTTTCTGAGTTGAGTTTTACTTTGTGCTAATATAGTTGCTTTGTTCTCTTCTAGGTTTTCAGCTCTATCTATATCTCTCAAATCCCAATTTGGGAATTTCAGTTGGGACCTAAGTTCAGCTGCTGATTTTTGGTAATTCTTCTCTAACTGTTACTTTACATTTGAATTGCGAATTACTCGTTTTAGTTTGGGAATGAATTGTTAGGGTTTATTGATTAAAGTTGCGTTTGTCTTATGAGAATCTCTGTGTTTGATTTGGTTTTTCTTTTCTTATTATCAATTACCTGTATTTTTTTATATATAAAAATTTGGTGCAGTTGGAAAAGTGGTAGATTGCTGGTTTTGTGGTTTTATTCATTCATAACTTTCTGGCATTAGTTTATGGAATTTAGTCCTGTATAATTTATAGAATTGAGGGTTGGTCTTGAGTTGTAGTTTGCTGACCCTTGAGTAAGCAACTGTGGCTTGTGAATCTCTTCTCTTCCTAATTTATATCACTTAGACTTAGTACTACAAGTTCTATGCCAGCCGTGGAATTAATTGTTTCTTCCACTAAAAAAAATTCTATCACCTTCCTTTAAAAAAAGAGAATAAATGTCTTGTTTGGAGGTTTAGTCCGCCTGAACAAACCATTCTGGCTCCACTCACGTTTACTCTCAAGTGTGAAACAAGGCGGGGAAGTGGTGCACAAGTGATCAGATGTGTTTGCAAATTGTGGAACACTTTCATTAGCAGTTCAAGATTCATAAATTTCCGTCACGAGATGAATGTCATGAAAAATGCTTGTGAATATTTCTTTAATGACACAGCATAAGAAGGTGCTCACTCTTTTGTTATGAAGCATTTCCCAAGTATTTGGATTTAGAACTTCCTAATCCCATAAATGGTTTCGCCGTTTCTGGTTTGTGCAATCAGTTTCTTTGCATTTCTACCAGTGTTTTAGTTTCACTTTTGGACCCTTTTGATTTTGATGATTCCTCTGTAAATTTAGAATGCATCAATCCGGAAATCTCAAGAGACTTCCATAAGTACTTATTCATGAGCGTTATCATAATAGTTGTTTCACTTCTCTAACCTTCGGGATCCAATGTGTCTTTGGTGGGGACGCAGATGACTAAATGGTTCTGCTTTGTCATTATTGGTTATTCAATTTCAATTGTGTAATGTGGGTCTCCTAATTTGGTTGGATATATTTCCTATTTCCAGTTTAGTTGCATATATACAAGTTTGAACTGGTTCATGGTTTTGCCCTCTTTAAATGAAGCATGCATGGTGATGCTATAGGGTTGGATCTTTTCTATCTTCAAAAACTTTTACTTTTTTCTTCTACTCCTTTTCTAAATTAGTTAAATATCTGTGAAATTAATCAACTCATCTTTAATGCTTCTTTAAAGGGACTTTTTTTCATCCAGGAGCAGCAAGAAAGACACCAATACTTGGGTGTCTTGTGATTGCATCATGAAATGTAGCATTAGACCTTCCCTATTAAGACATTTAAGAATGTGGCAGTTTCAAACAGTGCTGTTATAAAGGTGTATGCATCCCCAAAGTTGATGATGCTTATGTGGCAGTTTCAAGGCATATGTAAAACTGATGGTTGTCAACATTAAGTTAGATTTGAAGAGAAGGTATCTCTCTTTTCAGCCACGTCAAAGACAATGATAAATGGTCCTTCTTTCAAAATTCTCAACCATTGTTGGATGGAACTCTGCTATAAGAGAATCTGTGAACCAAAACCGTCCCCACAAAGCCCTCCTTCTCTTTTTCCAAATGAAACAAAATGGTTTGGAACCTAACAAATTCACCTTTCCCTTCTTGGCTAAAGCATGTGCCAAGCTCTCCAACCTCAAATTCTCCCAAATTATTCACACCAATGTTTTAAAATCACCATTTCGGTCAGATATCTTTGTGCAAACAGCAATGCTCGATATGTATGTCAAGTGTGATCAGTTGGCTGATGCCTACATTCTGTTTGAGAGAATTCCCATGAGAGACGTGGCTTGCTGGAATGTGATGCTTATGGGTTTTGCGCAATTGGGATTTCTTGATAAAGTGTTACGTTTGTTTCATGAGATGAGGTTTGCACGAATTCTGCCTGATACCATCACGGTTATGGGGTTGACTCAGGCAAGTTTGGAGACAAAGAATTTGGCACTGGTGAAAGCCATTCATGCATTTGGAATTCAGATTGGGATAGATGGAGATGTTTCAATGGCTAACACTTGGATCTCTGCCTATTCCAAATGCGATGACTTAAGTTCGGCCATGGCTGTCTTTAATGGATTGAAATTGGCATGAGGACTGTTGTCTCATGGAATTCAATGATTGCAGGATATGCAAACTTAGACAAATTTATTGATGCTCTAAACTTTTACAAATGGATGCTCTGTGATGGATATAGGCCTGATATAAGCACAATTGTGAGCCTCCTTTCTTCATGCATTCAACCTGATAAATTGCTACAAGGTGTGCTGATTCATTGTCATCGAATTCAAATGGGCTGTGATTCTGACATTTTTGTTGTCAATGCCCTTATATCAATGTATTCCAGGTGTGGTGATATACTTTCTTCTAGATTTTTATTTGATGGCATGTCAAATAGAACTTGTGTTTCATGGACTGCTATGATCAGTGGGTATGCTGATAAAGGAGATTTGAATTAGGCACTAAGATTGTTTCACACTATGGAAGCAGTTGGTTAGAAACCTGATTTGGTTACTGTGCTTTTTCTGGTTTCAGGTTGCTGCCAAACAGGTGCACTTGAGCTTGGAAAATGGATTCATAACTATGCCTTTTCTAACGGTTTAAGAGACAGCATCGTAGTCTGCAATGCATTAATTGACATGCATGCAAAATGTGGAAATATTAACAGTGCTCAAGAGCTCTTCTATGCCTTGCCAGTGAGAACTGTTGTTTCCTGGACAACCATGATCGCAGGCTTTGCTTTGAATGGCAACTACAAAGAAGCTCTGGACCTTTTCTGCCTGATGGTGGATTTGGACTTAAAACCAAACCACTTAACTTTTCTTGCCATTCTTCAAGCTTGCACTCATGCAGGTCTTCTTGAGAAAGTAATGGAGTTCTTTGACATGATGAAAAAAGTTTACAAAATAAATCCTGGGGTACACCACTATTTCTGTATGGCGGATCTCCTTGGGCGTAAAGGAAGGTTGGAAGAAGCAACGGAGCTTGTGAAAAGTATGCCGATGAAACCTGATGCTCGCATATGGGGTGCATTGCTTAGTGCTTGCAAGATTCACCATAATGTAGAGATCGGGGAATATGCATGTCGCCGTCTATTTGAGTTGGATCCCCAGGGTGCAGTTCCATTTGTGGAGATGGCCAACATATTTGCATCAGAGAGGTGGGATAAAGTTGCTGCATTAAGGACAGCTATGAAATTTAAGAAAGTAAAAAAAATTTCCAGGACAAAGCCTTCTTCATGTTAATGGGAGACCTCATGTATTTACAGTCGAGGATAGGGGTCATCCTGAAGGCTTGCTTATATATGCAATGTTAGATAGTTTGGCCTTGCGGTTGAAAGAAGAACAATACTCGCCACATTCAGACAATCTTGTGAAATGATTAATTTAAATAATTTATATTTGCTCAACATAATAACCATGATCATGAATGATACTGTGGATATTTCGTTGACCAAAGTTCTCCTATCAATTTTTGCATTTTGCATTCGTTTCCAAAAGGTGAACGAATAACTTACATCTCTTCTGGTTTGCCTTTCTTTTTATTGGCTTCTTGTTATTAACATGAAGTTTTTCTTGTGGTTTTAAAATTATTTTCAGTTTCATATTGGACACCCATTGTGCCCACTTGCCATAAAGGCGACCACCATTCCTACCTCGTAATGGAAGTTTGAAGACTAGTACATTCATGGACCATTTACAATAAGAAAAAACCTTAAATTATTTATATATATAAAAAATCACTTTAAGTTCATGTGGTTTCAATTTTGGCAAGTTGATCCATGTAGTTTGATTTTCATTGAAATTCAAGGACATATTCAAATTTCCATCCAATTTGACACGTCCAAATTTCAGTCCAATTTCGTGATGGAGTAAGTACATGCCCCTCACGTAGAGAGTTAAATCAGTATGCCATGACGAGATGAGCCACTTCTGCCACTTCTGCCACCTCTAAATCAAAATTTTCTCACTATGATCCTTCTACAAATTGGTCGAAATCTCAACCCAAGAGTCTAAATTTTTGAAGAGCTCTTATGAAATAGGAAGAGATTTAGCCAAGTAGTAAGGTAGATAACACGAGTAGACAGAAATACCCCTATACGTGAAGAGCACATGCTTACAACATTAGGGAGTTGGAAGGAAATTTCGACGTGTTCTTGAATTGCGAACTTATCATAAGGACCAAAGTGGAACATCAGAAAAGCTACAAGTACTAAAAGGTGACACTTTGGTCCACTTTGGTCCTTCTGATGTTCCACTTGCATTGTTTTGCTGGGACGGGTCAGGGCCTTAATTGCAAGTTAAGGAATGTAAGTTCTTTTATTTTTTCAGTCTAGATATATGATCAACTGAATGAACCATGTCCATTCAATAAGTGTTTTAAATTCTATTTCAAAGAATGTGTTCTACCTGTTCTTGCTGATAAACATGAAATGCTCCTTATTTTAATTCTCTTCATAATATGTACTGAAACGTTTGCTTTACATATTTTGTGGAACTTTCGGTCCATTTTTTCAAGCAGTGATCCAGCTCACGGTTTGCAAGTCAACCTTCTGATCCTCGAAGAGAATTAGGATCTTGAGATTACTGTAACACGGTACTTCTACCAACAATATGATTCTGAACTTCCAGCTCGCAGGTTTGTGATGCATGTTTAGATCCCGAACACGGGCTGTTCATCCAAATTTTAATAAGAGTTGGTTTTATCCCTTTGTTAGGTTAGGTTGGCCATTGCCATTTTGTTGCCATTGTCCCAAATTCATGTCTCCAAATGAAGATATGTCGTCATTTTTAGGTTGATGACTGTATAGGGCAGCTTGTAGCCCAAGTGTAGAGTTCTTTGTAACAATCTTGTAGCTAAGAGCCCGACAATGGCAGTCTGGTCTCCCATCAAAATTTGACGTGGTATATGTAGAGTTGTTGTATATTGTTGTATCATGTAGAGTTGTTGTTTTCTTTTTCTATATGCAAGCATGCAATAAGCATGCAACGTATAGCCATAATTGAATAAGTGTTTTCTTACAGTTTTTGAATCCGTGCAGCTTATCATGTAAGCTATAGTTGGCCGTCTTTGCATATAGCTGCAAGTTTATTTACTAAGACATGTACTTTAAACATCAGTTGCTTTCTTTTTGTCCGAAGTGGATGGAGTTGACTTTGCTATGTTTTATCTCTTGCACCAACGAAAAAGAGTGTGTTTTACTTGCATTATTTTTTAGGTGCCTTTTTAGGGGCTCTTGGGGTTTCCTAGAAAAGAACTTGGCAGTGTTTCATGAAGAAACACTTTATTAAATTTATGGAGGAACACGAGCTTAGCAAATGCTTCTCTAGAAATTTTATGACTTAGAACACTTTTTAAGTTTTCATGTCAAACATTGTCAGAACTGCTTTTGATTGTCATTCTGCTTTTAGAACCGCTTTTGGTTGTCATTCCGCTTTTACCTCTTACAGAAGTAGTCTCAAACAAGCTTGACCGTTATTGATTGGCTAATTTAAAGTAACATTTGAAATAGTTAAGGATTGGCATCTTTTGTCCTTAAATTGCAAAACTTAATAAACATGATGAGTTGAATGACAACAATTGAAAATATAAGAATGGAACTTAGCCCAAACTAGAAGGATCAAAAGCATAATTTTGCCGACTTTTTTTTATAAATTTATTTAATAAGACAATGTGAATTCTTGCATGCATGATGGATGATGCATGGTATATATGATTCAATATTGAATAAGTGTTTATGGGTAGCACTTAAAAGCTGATTTCAAGAAGGCAGGAATATTAGTTAAAATGTTGTAATTTGACTCGAGTGCAAGAATTGATATGATTAAATAGTACAATAAGACAGGATATATATATATTCGAAAAGCTCATAATGGTCCCCAAGAATGCTTCTCAATTATCTTGTAAAGAATTCCTCCTCGTAGACAAAAGACAGCTTGACACGTATTTCATTAAAATTATAAAATATATATATATACACACACACATGTATCAGACTGCGATTTTTCTAAAAGAAAGAATAACTCATTACATGTAATGAGCTAAGTATTTTCCTTCTGCTCATGTTCTCATGCATCTACCTCTCTCTCAAGTGAAATCTTCAGTAAACCACATATTGATCGAAGCCACGTCATCTGAACCCAGATTAGAGGGACAAAAATCACAGAGTTAATCTCTTCATTCCACCACCCAAGAAGTGTGTCAAAATATTGATTAAGACAAGCCTTAATTTATAATCTCAACGTTGAAGTAATATTAATTTATTTGTCCAAAATTGAGTGAGTTTTATGGTCAAAGTTATACACTAAATTCAAGATGAGTCAGATGCATCTGCTGGTGCTGGGCAAAAGAAATATAGTTATGGCCATGCATGCTTGCACTGCTGTTTTCGAACAAAAGTTTGAAAACATCTCTCTTCGCTTGTTAATTGTGCTTTAAATTTCAAACCCTAAATATTATTGGTTAACAACTAATTTATTTTTTTTAGTACAAGCGGTAGTCTAAACTAGAGGAGAGAGATTTCTCACACACACAACTGATGCCATGGGGTTAACAAATTACAAGGGAGAATCAGAAAATGAAAAAAGAGAGCTTCAGCCTGACCACAGTTTGATCACTCTTTCATTGAATAACAAACTTGGAGTAGCCACAGATGATAACTAGCTAGTTTATCAAGCAACAAACTAATTTACATATTATTATTAATTACAAGTGCGGATGATTTATACATATATGTAGCTAATTAAGGAAGAGAGTTGGTATAGATGTAGTCCTCATCCTCAAAACCATTTTCTTTTGACCCACCATCTCCTTCTTTGCAATGAGCGCCCTTTCTTCTACAATGATCTGCTCTTCCCTACACCAAACATCAAACATAAAAGGCAACTGGTTAAGTCCAAACTTTTAAGAGAGTTTCCACAGAGAGAGAGAGAGAGAGAGAGAGAGAGAGAGAGAGAGAGAGAGAGAGAGAGAGAGAGAGGAGCTTATGAACTAAGTACTAACCGCATTGAAGGAGTTTCCAGATCTCACCCTTAGCTCATTGGGCTGCACTTTTCCATGGACAAGCAGTACAAAATAAAATGAAAAAACCAGAAACACAGCCAGTTTTGAGAATCTCCTTGTACTTGATTGGTTAATTTTGAACCCTGTAATTTATGGAGGATGTTCAAATATTATGATGAGCAAGTACTCTTTCTGTATAAAGATCTTCCAGCCCCGTCCTGAAAGCTTCTTGGTGTATGCAATTTTCAATTCACTCTCCAAGAGGAACTACCATTTATTATGATTTCTATATACATTTATAATATAAGAGCTTTGAGTAAGGTTTATCTTCTTTTGACCTGTGTCCTGATTCCTGGGCAAAAAGCTCGACCTTCAAAGATCGTGTGGGAGAGAGGGGGAGAGGGGGGGGGAAAGGCAGTTGTCACACTTGTTTTGCTTCCAAGATGCCTCACTTGTCACTTGGTTTGGCTGCTATACATCCACTTTGTACTTCATTTGTAGTGATTTTCTGCTATCCATTTTGTCCTTATAATTTATTGTGATTTACTCACCCAACACCGACATCCAAGGTTAGAAAAGTTGATATAGATTTTCTTAGACTCCGTGGGAGCTTTGGAAGAGTGCGTAGCTTTGCGCAACCTTGTATCTCAAGAGTCTGTGTTAGTGTTTTGTATATCTGTATGTGTATTGGTAAAGAACAAGAGAAGAGAGAAGAAGGAAAGGAAAACGAAATCCAAAACTCCTCTGCTATACGTGTAGCAGAGAGAACATTCTCATTCCTCTTCTGTAAATTCAGTACACTCTTAACACACACACTTGGTGTGAGAATATAACCGTTAGGCACAGTGCCAGCTGGATGCAATACATCACAATGCAATCTCAGCCATCCACAGGCTAACCAATCAAACTATGACACTTGGATTTATAATAAAACAGACTACAAGAAAACTGAGATATCTAAATTATGAAATCAGCTTGAGCACTTATAATTCAACAGTCTGGAGCATAATAAGACCGTTCATGTTTTCTGGTAGCTTCAGAATTGGGTTTCTACTTAGATTCAAATGCTTCAACAAGGACAAGATACTAAGATCGCCAGGAATCTCTGACAGATTGCAGTCAGCCAGACATAAGGTTCCTAAGCAATGTAGCCAGATTTCCAGGGACAGACTGGCTGATTCAAGCTTATGTCTTGCTGATACCCATGACCTCCACGACCATATCGATTGCCATATATTTTCTGATACATATTTAATTTCTTCCTAACTCTAGCTGTAGAGTGTAAGTGATTAGCAGCAGTCGTACTGGTATGAAGCACAAGCTTTGAGCACCCAGAAAGATCAAGTTCCTGAAGAGATCTCAACACATGCTAATTCTTGTTGGAAGCTTCATGAGACTTTTGCAGTCTTTTAGATTCAACAAGATGAGTTTCTCTAGGTTTACAAGGGATTCATCAATCACAACCAAATTAATGCAGTCTTTAAGAATCAATGTCTCAAGGTTAGGGACTCCTGACAAGTTGGGGGTTGTCACAAGGCTATGTGAACGATTGAGATTAAGAATTTTCAGTCATAGAAGAAATTGTTTGAAAAAGCTGGCAATTAGTTTGGTTGAGTATATATAATGATACCTAAGCTTGGGGAGAGAAAGAGAGAGAGATTAGTATCGTACCCTGGTTCCCTTCCAAACATGTTGTAGGCTGCTATTTCGCAGGTCAAGACCAACTAGATTTTCCAAATAAAATTTTTCTGGTATTGATTTTAAAGGGAATCCTCGCCAGCACAACCATGTTAATTTTTTTGGAAAATCTTCATAATCTCCACTGACTTTTACATCATCGAGCAGGAGCAGTTCAAGATTGTGCATTCTTCTAAATGCCTCTGCCTTGAAATCTACCTCATTTGATGCAGCAGCTGAATTTGTTGAGGAAGAGTTAATTGATATCCAAGAGAAGTAACCAAGTCGACATCGTCTTGAACAATTTCCATCAAAGTCTTCAACATGGCACCGCTTTTGGTTACTTGTACTAAATATTGCCTCGCTAGGAAGGTTGAGCATGAGGCCCTTAATAGTTTCTGTTCCCTGCTACGAAATCAGAACATCTGGTAAGTAACAAGTTCACAAGCATTGCACAAATATAAAAGAGAGCAAGTTTCTTACAGTTAATTTTCTCAAAACATCAGAGGCATCTTTATGCCACACTCTACTACGCTTTCCAGGGTCCTCGGGTGATTCTTCACGAATAATTGCCCTTCCCATGTCTCTAAGTAATTGATGCATGATCAACTTGTTGTCTATATCAATTTCCACTAGACATCTATCAACTAGATTTTGAATTCCAATCCTTGTGTAAAAATTTAAGTTGTCTAGTACTGTAATTGTATAACCCATCTTCTTTTCTATGAAGAAACAGACAATATGAAGGAATAAATTCCTGTCATGATCATCTTTTAGAGAATCAAAGCTTATTCTAAGAATTTTTTGAATCTTGTCATCAGGAATCACGTGCAACTTCTGTAATGCACTTTGCCATAGATCTACTCTTTTTCCAAGTAGAGAAGATCCCAAAACTTGGAGAGCTAGTGGAAGACCTTCACAGTGTTGTACTACAGATCTTGAAAGGTTCATGTAACCTTTGATAGGATGCGCTTGTTTGAAGGCAAGCCAACTGAAAAGCTCCAGTGATTCACCCTCACCTAATCCTTTAACCTTAAACATTGCATAAACTGCATGATCATTTAACAGATTTTCATGTCTATTTGTTACGATAATTTTACTTCCTGGTTGAAACCATTCTCGCATTCCAAGAATTGCATTGAATTGCTCAGAGTGGTTCACATCATCAAGAACAATAAGAACCCTTTTGCAACGCACAAGAAGTTTGATCTTGCTCATTCCTTCATCTATGCTGTATATTTTCTTTGTTTTCCCTTTTTGGATATCTGAAGGAAGTTTTCTTTGCAAGCAAACTAAACCATTAGGTGGTTTTGAAGCTGCCCTAACATCTGGAAGAAAGCTGCTACCTTGAAATGTATCAAAGTTCTGGTTATAAGCAGCTTTGGCAATGGTGGTTTTATATGTAAGACAAACAATTTTTTTCATGTACAAATGTAAACAATTTATTTTCCTGTGTATTGACTGATGAATAAGAGGCCATTTCCACCTAAACATTTATGATATAGACTGAAAGCTAATTAATTGAAAAATTTTAAGTATTTGATGATTAGTTTGTGGTCTTGAAATTGTGTGAATGCCTTCTGCATTGTAATTATTAAGGAAAAAAATGGAAATGGGAACTTTAATTTTGAGTCTTTTGACTGTGAGTCTTCAGTTTAAAACCCAAAACAAAATATCATATGCAAATGTAAAGCATGATTACAGATAAGAAAAGTAGGGTTGGATCGATGCAAATACTAAGGAAAGTCAAGAGGAGAGTCATTGACTTATCTCCATGAGGACTTGGATTCCAAGCTCCTGATGACCAAAGGGCAGAGCTACGTCTTCACCACACAAAAGCGGACCAGGGTGGATTAGTAAGTATGCTCGCTAAATGTTCGATGAAATTCCCGACTCAGACACTGTGGAAGAAAATGGACCATCCCAAATTGAATGTTGTTCAATATTCTCCACCTCTCTCACTCTCTCTGCTCCAAGAATTTGAATGGGTGCAAAACTGAAAAGAATCCCATTCAACCTCAAGGAGCCTGCACCTTGAATCCCAAGCTAAACACAATCCCCACAGCTCAGCTTCCACTACAGAGCTAGACCCCAAGTTGGCTCGGATTCCATCCCAGTCACTCTCAGGTGAAATACGGTTATGTAAACGTGTTACGAAGTTTCAAATGATTGCTCAACTAGAATACCTGTTTGAACAACCCAATCGGCAAATTAACTTATTAATTAATACGAAATTTACAGGAAATTTGAAATGTACTTTATTTAAAAACACCCTAAAAAGCACAATATCCGTCTTCAGCCCCTCCTGCTTAAACAAAGGAGGGCAATACATGCACAAGACGATTATGAATACATAAACATAAAAGAGCACATTTCTTACAGTTAATTTTCTCAAAACATTAGAGGCATCTTTATGCCACACTCTACTGCGTTTTCCAGGGTCCTCAGGTGATTCTTCGCAAATAATCTGCAGCATTTCCAACTCAAACTTTGATGCTTATCCTATATGTCTATGTATGAGACGACTCCTATATGACTATGATTACAAATAACGTATTCACCCACTTTATCCAACTCAAACCTTGATGCTGACGCTGACACATCTCCAGCAACGACATGATTCTTGCTCGAAGGAGTATTTGTTTCATGCTGGAACATTGTGGTTATATCTTCAGTTACGGTACCCTCATTATTATTCTGCTCGTACACAAGCTGGATTCCAAATTCCTTTGTCCAGAAACTATCAGATTCATCTCTAACCGAAACACGTATTTCTTCCCCACCCTCCAATTCATCGTTTGTGAATCGCCAATGACTAAGCCATAACATATCTTCCTTCTCTTTTGGAAACCCTATTGTGACTGGCAAATAGGTCCACTTAAGACCCTTGGTCTCATTACTGATGCGAATTAAGGGAACGACCGAGTAACATTTCGATTCCTCAACAAGAACCTTACCTTGTGCATACACAACACATGCATTTAGGCCTCGGATCTTCAAGTTAAGATGTGGAGGTATAGTTATAGACAGCTCAGAGTTACCCACGCTCGACTTGTAGCAGAACCAATCTGGAACCTCGCTCCCAGGAAGGAATATGCTAAATATACCACATTCATCCAGTCCCTGTTTCATGCATGCATGGAGAGATTTATATATGTTCAAATATTATTACAGGCCACAGAAAATCATAATCATCATAAAAAACTAAACAATACATGAGAGAGAGAGAGAGAGAGAGAGAGAGAGAGAGGAGAGAGAGAGAGAGAGAGAGAGAACCTGGAGAGGGCCCTTCCTCGTTGTACGTGTCATGTAGTTGATCATTTCAACTTCAGTGCTTCCTATGGATTCCAAATTGAACAGACCGATATCTTTTATCATTTCTATGTCGACACTTCTCAACGGTCTTGTTTTGAACACCTTTCGAAATTCAACTAAATTCTCGCATCTCAAAACCTCATGTCCCATTGTTTTGAACGCGGTGGGTAAGTTTGTTAGTACTCTTTTCAATGAAGTACATTCCCATGCTTGCAATCTCTCTACACTTGGTGGGAGCTCGGGAAGCATTTCGAGGTTTGGGCAACCATCCAACACAAGAGTCTGGAGCTTACTAAGACCATTCATGTTTACTGATAGGCTCAAAAATGGGTTTCCACTTAGATTCAAATGCTTCAATGAGGATAGGCTGCTAAGACCATTGGGAATTTCTGACAGATTGCAGTATGCCATACTTAAGCTTTTTAAAAATTGTGGCAAACTTGCACTGGTAAGTTGGAGATTTTTTCTTGGCAATACCCGTGATCGGATTGATTGCCACAATTTGACTGCAGATAACAGACTGAGTTTCTTCATGTCACTAGGTGTAGAGTCTGAGTGATTTTTAACAATCATACTGGCAGGCAGCACAAGATTTGGGCAACCAGAGAGAATAAGTTTCTGGAGAGATCGCAGCATACTAATTCTTATTGGAAGCTTCATGAGATTTTTGCAATCTTTTAGATTCAAGAAAACAAGTTTCTCCAAATCTCCAATGGATTCATCCACCTCTTTCAAATTTATGCAATCTTTAAGAATTAATCTCTCGAGGTTAGGGAGTCCTGACAAGTCAGGGGTTGTCACAAGGCCATGTGAATGACTGAGATTTAAGATTTTCAGTCCTAGAAGAAACTGTTTTAAAAAAGAAGTAATTAGTTTCTATAAATATATAATCATCTTTAAATTTGTCTCTGTGTGTGTGTGTGTGAGAGAGAGAGAGAGATTAGTAGCATACCCTAGTTCCCTTCCAAACATGTTGGAGGCTGCTGTTCCGCAAGTCAAGAGCAATTAGATTTTCCAAATAAAATTGGTTGGTATCGACTTTAAAGCGAATCCTCGCCAAGACAACCATATTAAATTTTTTGGAAATCTTCATAGCCTCCACTGACTTGTACATTATCAAGCAGCAGGAGTTCAAGATTTTGCATCCTTCTAAATGCCTCTGTTTTGAAACCTATCTCATTTGATACAGGAAATGAGTTTGTTGAAGAAAAACTAATTGACTGCCAGGAGAAGAAACCAAGCCGACGTCGGCTGCTTGAACAGTTTCCATCATAATCTTCAACATGGAATCTTTTTCTGTTACTTCCACTGGATGTTATCTTAGAAGACTCATCTTTTATTAACATAGGAATGTTGAGCATGAGGCCCTTAATAGTTTCTGTACCCTGGTAACAAATAAGAACATTGGGTAAGTAACTTGTCACATGCACAACACAATTACGAATACATAGACATAAAAGAAGATATTTCTTACAGTTAATTTTCTCAAAACATTAGAGGCATCTTTATTCCACACTCTAGTTCGTTTTCCAGGATCCTCAGGCGATTCTTCGCGAATAATTCCCCTTCCCATGTCTTGAAGTAATTGGTGCATGGTTAACTTGTTGAATCCATCAATTATCAGCAGACATCTATCAACCAGATTTTGAATTCCAATGTTTGTGGCAAACTCACATTCATCAAGGACTGTAGTTGAAAAATCCTTGTCTTTCCCTATGAAGAAACAGGCTATATGGAGGAACAGACGTTTGTCATGATCTTGCAGAGAATCAAAGCTTATTCTGAGAATATTTTGAATTTTTCCTTCAGTAATCACATCCAAGTTCTGTAATGCATTTTTCCATACATCTGCAGCTTTTCCAAAGAGAGAAGATCCTAGAACTTGAAGAGCTAATGGAACCCCTCCACAGTGTTGCACTACAGGTCTTGAAAGATCCATGTAACCTTCGCTAGGATGGGGTTGTCTAAAGGCATGCCAACTGAAAAGCTCAAGTGATTCATACTCATGCAACCCTTCCACCTTAAACATTGCATAATTCTCATGAACCTTTAACAAATGTTCATGTCTAGTTGTTATGATTATTTTACTTCCTGGATGAAGCCATTCTCGCATTCCAAGAATTGCATTGAATTGTTCCAGGTTGTCCACATCATCAAGAGCAATAAGAACTCTTTTGCAACGTATCGCCCGTTTGATCTTTATTATTCCTTCATCCAAGCTGTATATTTTCTTTGCTTTCCCCTTTTGGAGATCTGAAAGAAGGTTCCTTTGCAAGTGAACCAAACCATTGGGAAGTTTTGAAGTTGCTCTAATATCTGCAAGAAAGCTGCTACCTTGAAATTTATAGAAGTTCTGGTTATAAGCAGTCTTGGCAATGGTGGTCTTGCCAATTCCACCCATCCCATAGACTACAGCTACTCCAACATCACTTGATCCATCTTCTAACCACATGTTTAGGCCTTTCACACGATAATCTATTCCAACTACATAGGGATCGACTCTTAATCTCCTATTCCATGTGTGATCCAGTTTATTTCCAATAACTTCAACTATATCTTGGATAAACTGCGACTCGTACCTATAAAATATTGATATCAAAATACACAAGGCACAAAAAGTTATTTCTTTTCAACAAAAAGAAACTTATTTCTTTATTATTTTTATTTTTATTTTATAGAAGAGAATTGATATATATCATAGGTTGAAATGAATCATATTAAGCAAATGAACTTTCAAAACAGAAGTGCTGCCATCTAACAACTACATGAGATTAAAGAAAAAGCTTCAATATAATCTACTTTAAAAACCATCCAAGAGAGAGTTAAAACCACCATTTTGGGAATGAAAAAGTACCGATCTCCTAAAACCATCCCTCCCAAATCTGCAACATCTCTGAGAGCTTTTCTCCACTTCTCCACCTTGTCCATCTCCTTGTTGAAGCGCTGTTGGTGTCTGGCAAATGCTTCTTTAAAAATTCCTGTCTGGTTCCTGACATGGGATGGATCCACATCATAGAAAATCGGCATAACCATGTGCTCATTAGTTTCTCTACGGTCCATGATCGTCACTAGCTCATCCAGGCACCATCTCGAGGAAGCGTAGTCCTTGGAGAAGACAATGATAGATACTCGAGACTCTTGTATTGCTTTTTGAAGCTCTGCTGAAATATTTGCTCCTCTCTCGATTTCGTCATCATCTCTAAAAGTGTGGATCCCTGCCACCTCCAAAGCCCTGTAGAGGTGATCAGTAAATCCCTTGCGTGTATCTGTACCCCTGAAGCTTAAGAACGCATCATAAGTGCACCGGTGAGAGGACGGATCCTGCTGCGTGCTGGTAGCAGCCATTTGTATGTTCAGCTTGTGTTTGTGTTTGAGAAATAAAATCTTGCTCTAAAAAAGAGAACAGAATAAAGACAAGAAAAACAGGTACGCATGACAAAGTCACAAAGGTAGTGACCAAAGTGATAAAGTAACAAAGTCAATGTCTATTGCCCCACCAGCCACTGAACATTTATGATCTCGATTTTCACACTGAGATGCGAGAGATGTATTGAGGACGAAGCTTCCTCCATATGAATTGAATACCGGTCCACTGCTAAATTCCAGATACACATACACTACTATCAATATCGATAATGTCCCATTAAATTTCAGAGAGACGGACTAATGGTTCACTACTAGCAATACTAATATTGTTCCTAACTTAATGTAGGGGACTTTTTCTTCCTTGCAGCTAAAAAAAAAAAAAAAAAAAAAAAAAAAAAAAAAAAAAAAAAAAAAAAAAAAAAAAAAAAAAAAAAAAAAAAAAAAAAAAAAAAAAAAAAAAAAAAAAAAAAAAAAAAAAAAAAAAAAAAAAAAAAAAAAAAAAAAAAAAAAAAAAAAAAAAAAAAAAAAAAAAAAAAAAAAAAAAAAAAAAAAAAAAAAAAAAAAAAAAAAAAAAAAAAAAAAAAAAAAAAAAAAAAAAAAAAAAAAAAAAAAAAAAAAAAAAAAAAAAAAAAAAAAAAAAAAAAAAAAAAAAAAAAAAAAAAAAAAAAAAAAAAAAAAAAAAAAAAAAAAAAAAAAAAAAAAAAAAAAAAAAAAAAAAAAAAAAAAAAAAAAAAAAAAAAAAAAAAAAAAAAAAAAAAAAATTTAAGTAAGGAATGGGGTGTTTTGTGAGGAATTTTGGCTAGAGAAAGAGAAAAAGAGAGACAGGGTTCTTCCAGCAGCTACCAGAAGAACAAATTGGAGAAGAAGATGAACAGTGCACGAATCTAAGTTTTGCAAGATAGAGAGAAAAGCTTGCTCTCTGCAGGTTGTGAGTTGTGTTTGTTGGGTAGGGGAAGGCTTAATTTATAGCTGCCGGAAATCACCATTTTTCAAGAAACCCTAATGGCTCCTTCTTACTTTGGCTGAGATTTTCTTCCTTTCTCCTCCCCTTCTCTGACTTCCCTTTCTTGGCAAAGATGGCTTCTGTCTATCTTCATGAATTTAGGAGATTTTGGGGCTCAACATCCCTCTTTCCCGCGGCTACGCAGTGAGGGCTTCCACTCTTAGTTTGCTGTTTTTCTTCCTTTTCTTTCTTCTTCTTTGGCTGAATCTGATGAAGGAAAGGAGGTGCAAATGTATGCTGGTCCAAGGGATGCTTCTGACAGCATGCAGGATGGTATTCATCGGTTCTTTGGATGTCTCTGGCTTGGGACTGGTTTCCAGCAGCTTACTTAAGGAGCCTGCCATCTACTCCTTCACGTGTTCTCTGTTTTTCAAAAAAAGGCTGAAGCTCTTGTGGGCCTTTTTGGGTTTTTCTAAGGGCCAAGATGGCTTTCTTAAGCGAATGGGCTTATTGGGCTTGATTTGGGTTTATTATTATTTTTGGTTGGGTTATCTCTTGGCTAGGTTATTTTGCTTGGGCTTTTGGGCTATTTTTTCTCTCTTGTGCCTACCCACATGTTTGGGCCTAAGAAATGGGCCTGAGTCTCGAGGCTCCCAAGCAACCCGAGACTTTCCATTTCTTGGTCCATCAATGGGCCTCATGTTGATTTATCACCATCCATGCCACAACCCACTCAAGCAAGCCCCGGGTCTTTTTTGAGTGGCTTGGGCCCACCTAGGCTTGTAGCGTGGTTGGGTGCGAGATAACGGCATGGCATGTTGCTCGGCATATTTTACCTTATCGCCCTTGGGAAGGATTGTTTTAATTTTTTAGCATGATTATATTTTATCATAGCATGATAATTTGTTTATTTAGCGTGGCGTGTGGGTTATAACTTGCATGCGATAGATCCCTTTTTTCTTTTCCCTTATGGAATATTGTATTGGGCTGATAATTGTTCGGGCCCAATCCATGGATTTTTTGGGCCTCAACATTAGCCCCCTTAATTATAAGGGCCATGAACAGGTGCTGGAATGGGCCGAATAATTAAACCCAACCCAAAAAATCAGATTTGTATTTGCATAGGACTCTTCTTCTTCCCGCGTGCAAAATGACGGCGTGCCATGATTGGTCCCGGTGGTTACTTGCAGTTTCCAACGCCAACTGCCTTCCTCTCCTTATTTTATTATTTTCCTCCCTTTTCTTTCTCTTTTCTTGCATCAGACATCGGTTTCCAAAATTTCCTTCTCCTTTCCACGCTCCAGACCAAAACTTCCCTCTAACTCTCCTCCCTTCGTTCTTCTTCTTTCTTCTCCATAAATTCAAATATACTGAAAGAGTGAAGTCAGGCCAAAATTGTTTACCTCCAGCCGCTGAGAAGAAGACCCAAGTCGAACCCGACCCCGTCGTTCCATCTTCGTTCCAAAGGAGCCCGTTCGTCGCTGCTGGAAAGGTCCTCCTTTGTGCGAATTTTGCCTTCAAATCCCTGGTTTTCTTCTATTTTTGGTGCATCCAACGTCATCCCTTGGAAGATTTAACAAGGTATCCTCTCTTTCTTCCAATTTTCCCTTAGATTGATTGGAGAATTTGTTGGGTTTCTCATACCCATAGATGTTGTCTTTTGTTTTGGCAGCCAAATACCCAAAACCCCTTTTCTACCCATCTTGTTTCCACTGCACCAATAGTGCTCACGGAGTGGGTGCTAGCAAGGAAGGGTCTGCGCCATTGTCTAGGGTTTCTTCCTTCGTTGATTTTGCTCGAGCTGCCGGAAAGGTAAATTTTTTTTTCTTTCTTGTTGGCTTGGGTTTCTCCCCCCTTCTTTTCGTTTTTATTTTGCACGGGCTTCTCCTTTTGTGTGTAAAGGGCTGATTTGGCATGACGTGCTTTCCCTTTGTTTATTTTTTGTGCAGGTACACGCATTTTGGGCATAGGTAGGTGCTGGAAACCCTTGACATTTTGCTGCTGGAACCTTCAAACCTTCAGTCTTCTAACTTAGACTTTGGCAATAACTCTGCTAACTCTGAGTATTTTAGAATAGGTGTAGACTGATGCTTGGCCTAGGCTCTCTTTTTTTTCTTTTCTTGAGAACACATGCTTGATCGATTATGGAATTCTGCGTGTGTTGCCTGTGGAGGAAAATAATTGACAGAGTGCATGTTTTGTACTGCCTGGCTGAATTTTTTTATTTTTTATTTTTATTCTGAGAAGGGACTTGCTTGTCCTGCTTGTTGATCACAAAGCGAGACTCTTACTTGTCATGAGCTTGAATTTTAAATTGCATGTTTGCTTGGATAAACTCAACTAGCCACGTATTTTACGTGTGCTGATTCTATTTTGCTTCTTTCCATATTTCTATGCGCAGGTACCCATTATGGCATCCGGTAATCCACCATTTATCATAAGGGATCATCTTTACTCCGTAGATGACAGGTTGAAGAGAGGGAGACCTCCTCCTTTGCTCAAGGGTGCCGACGAGGATGTAATCATTGATGAAGAACCAGCGCCAGAAGCTACTTCAGTGATTGATCCTGCATCCGTATCAAGGTGCTGCATAGAAAGGGGTCTGTTTCCGGCAGTTCCTTTGTTCTTTCAATATCCCTGCAGCATCAGCAAGGGTTGGTCGGAGTGGGTTGATGCTGAACTGAAGAGCCCATCTACCCGTGATATCCTAAGCCGGGCAGGCGTGTTGGAAGCCATCTTTGCTTCTAAGGCTTGCGACATCCATATTGAAGCCAAGACGCTTCGACACTTGGTTAGACGGTGGAGCACTGAGACGCACACTTTTATTTGTTCGTGGGGAGAGTTCACTCCCACGCTTGAGGATGTAGCTAATATTTTCCATCTCCCACTTTGCGGCAGCCAAGACCCTTTCCATATTGCATTAACCCCGGAAGATGGGCTAAAGCTTGAAACTTTGCGGAAGGGTGCTCCGACCTCTCCTAGTACCTCTCTGAGATTCAGTAATTGGATTCAGTTTTTCGGGAACAGTGATCGAGACGAGCCGTGTCGCCTTGCTGCGTTCGTGTCCTTGTGGCTCGGGAGGTTCCTCTTTTGTGATTTTTCTCAAGACTGCTTGCATGGGAGAGTGTTTCCGTTGGCTTTGGCAATAGCACGAGGTAGCATGATCCCTTTAGCCCCCATGTTCTTGGGGCACTTATATCGCTTGCTTGACCAGATTCAATTTCTTGAGAAGGGGGCGGCCGGAACCATGGCTGTGGAGACTTTTGTAAATTCCAGTTTTCTGCAGATCTTTTTATGGGAACGCTTCAAGGGATAGAGGTATCTCCACTCCCTTATTCAAAGGCTGAGTCACTGGTTGCTTCGGACGAGGATTCCTACGTGCCGGGTAGTCTTCCTCTGATCTGTAGATGGTTCCGTCGCATGCAACGGAAGGGCCAAAATTTTTTAGAGCTGCTGGACGATGTTGAGCAATTTATTTTTCGCCCCTATTGTGCCTCATCAGAGGGCTTTAGAAGTATGCCCCTTCTATGCTGATTCTGCTGCTTTAATGGAGGCCCTGGCCACGCCAACACAAGGTTGTCGGTTACGCAGAGAGGCATTGTTGAGTGCCGCATGCCTCCCTCTGCCCACATTCGGTGATGACCACTTGGAGACTTCTGTGCATTATTCCCCTTACCGGGTTAGACGACAGCTTGGGTTTGACCAAGGTGTGCCCTCTCGTCCCAACCATGGAGATTCCTCGAGCTTGCACAGGGTTTTCTGGACTGGTGACAGCGTGCCGGGAGACGGCAGGCCTCTTGCCCTTGCTCTGGCCAGCCGGAAGCGCGTTGGTGGTCTCTCAAAGGCCTACCAAAATTATTGGAACCGCTGCTTTGCCTCGTTCAGCCGATTCCATGCTGCCCATTGTGATAGCTTGATTCCCACCGTCATTCATCATGCCCGTTTAGTGTCGGAAGAGAAAGCCATTTCCTTGAGCGAGAAGCGAAATCTGCCCTTTATCTCCAAGAGTGGAGAAATTGTTGGTGATTTTTCGAAGCTAAAGCGGAAGTTGGAAAAGTCGGGTTCTCATAGTGCCGGGAAGAGTGTTGCACATGGGAAACGGAAGCGTGAGGAAAGCTGCAGCGCCGAGAAAAGGCAAGCTGTGAAAGAACCGAAAAGGTTCATCCCCAAGGTAGCGGCAGGTGGTCCTCCCAGCTCAAGAAAGGTTGCCTTGCCCGAGTCCTTACAGCAGCAGCCTACAGCTTCCGGCAGCAGCGAGCGAGCAGCTCTAAAGCTTCATCTCCTCACAGTAAGTATTGCTATTTGTTTGCTCCCTTTGTTCCCCGCTCTTTGCGTATATATAAGTATCCCTTTCATCTTATTTTGCAGGTACTTCCCAAAGTAAAGGCAAGGGTAAGGGGTTTTCCGTGACCCCGAAACGTCGAAGCATGCGTATTCTTGAAACGCGGTTTGCTAATACCCGAAAGAATAAGGGTGAAGACTCGGGACCCAAAGTAGTGGTGACGGTTGATGATAACAGTGATGATGATAGTGATGGCGATGGCGCTGCGGGAACTGAGGCTAACATTCATGAGCAAGAGAGTGCTCGCGATACGAGTGGCATGGACGAGGACTTTGATGAAGGCCAATACGATAGTCACGACGAAGACACCTATCCGGCTTTCGGCACTAGCTTGGGGGAGTTCGATGACTCAGATACGACTCCTGCTTTGACTGGCGATCATGGACAGCGTGTCGATATTGAACTGGTATCAAATATCCCTCTTGCTTGTTTTGCTTTGGAATATTGACATTGCATGCTGCCCGTTGTGTCCTCTAGCTCATACTCCGTCTTTCTTCTGCAGGTCGTGCCCGCCATTGAAGGCACGATAGGTGCTTCATCGGAGGCTGATTTTGCCCTTCCCACTACTGTCGCTGAAGTTGTCCTGAGCCTTCCGGCAGTGCAACCTCCTCCTTCTCCTAACCCATGTACCTCTGACATGGCTGCTGATGCCTCTCCACTACTTCCAACAGTTCCTCCTCCTATTTCTCCAATTCCGAACGTACCTGCCATAGCTTCCGGCACTGCTCTACTTCTTCCAGCAGCACATCCCCTTACTCTCCCAATCTCGAGCACACCTGACATAGCTTCCGGCACCACTCCACCTCTTCCAGCAGCACATCTCTGTGATAAGAATGTTGATGCTTTTATCGCAGGTTCCTCAAAAGGGCCTTCATTCGAGAAAGGCATGTCTTGGCAAGATTGGGAGAATTCCTACACGGCATTCAAAGCCTTCTTTGATGGTGGTGTCACCATTCTTAGATCCATTGATGAACTTCTTCCGCTTTGCCACAGATTCGATGGTTATGCAACATTCCAAGGCGCCCTTGTGTATCCAGAGACGGTTGGAGCCTTGAAAAAGTTCATGGACAAATACGGGAGTTTGCTGGAAGCTACAGATGTCACCTCCTCTTTCTCAAGGGGTACTGCCCTTCGAGCGCTTGGCTTAGTACTTCATGGGATGGACACCATGCAACTCCTTGATATTACAGATCATAAACTGCTCTGTTGGCGAGATGCAATATGCGAGGCCATGATTCTGGGCTTTCCCTGTGGAATTTCTCCTTAAACTCGTGAAGAGCTTAGCACGTGCCGTTTTTGGAGCACGGGCCATTCGTAGTATGCAATTATCGCATGATTCCGATGAAGTAAAAGCCGCTGCAGACGCCTTGAATATTAAACAGCAAGAGTTGGAAAACCAGCGCCGGGAGATGCATGCCCTTCTTCTTGCTAAGGGAGTTTCTGTTGACAGCGCTGAGTGCGTGACGGAGGCAGCAGCCAGATTATCTCCTGGGGCTTCCTTTGTTCTTTTCGGACATTCCCCATAGCCTACAGGTACTCAGCTCATCCATTATATTTTTTTATATTACGTATTCCAGCAGCAGCTATTTTTTGACACACATTTTCTTTTATCTTTTGCAGATTGCCCATCCTTGGCTTAGTGACCATTTAGCTTGGCTCGTGATCCTGCTTTTCTTCGTGACTTAAGGGCGCGTGAACCTTCAGCAGATGCAGCTTTATTTTGCTTTGTTTGTAGTGTTGTTTTTTTTTCTTTTGAGACTCTAACGACTACGTCGTTATGCCTTTGTAATTTTGATATTAAACTACCGAAGCTTGTATGAATTTCTGAATGCTTGAGGCATGTTGCATATTTCCGGTGTAGATATGTATATATACTGCTTTGTTGGCCAGAATTGTCTTTATGGACTGCTTGACATTTTGACAGGTTGGATATCATTGAAAACAGGGTATATGCTGTCAAATTTTTTTTTAGAAACCGAGTCTTCGAAAGCTTCTTTTGCATGGCTTATCTAGATTCTAAGCTTGACAAAATAGCTTCCCACCTTTCCCAAAGGGTCGAACCAACATGTGCATGATTTCTAGCCGAGCTCTATAAAGCTTCCAGGTGTTATATCGTATCGTTCCAGCATCTCAGAATTGCATGTTTCTATGCCTTATGCTATTAATTTTTTTTTTTTTGCTTAAGCGTGATGCTTGGGGACCCCATCTAAATGACTTTGCCCGGCATGTTTTACTGCTAAGTAGCATGTTTATATATATATATATATATATGGAAAATTTGATAAAGGGTTAATAATAGTAAAGTTTTGGAGACACAATATATATTTTTCAAAATATTCCTTCATTTCATTGCAAAAGCCCTTGCTACCATAATGGTGCATCATACAAAAGTGTCTTTTTTTTCAAAACGTGAAAATAAGACAGAAGGAGTTTATTTTTTTTTGACAGAGAGAGAATACAAAAGTACTAGGCATAAAGTTAACTTAGCAGTAATAGAGCTTGAGCCACTTCCCATTGACGGGGTCGGTTAGCGTGCCTTCTTTGACAGAGACCAAGCGATAATAGCCGCTGCTGTGAACCTCTTTGACTGCAAACGGGCCTTCCCATTGTGGCGCAAACTTGGAAGGTCCCGACACTTGTCTTCTCACATGCTCCGCAACTTTTAGCACGAGGTCTCCTTGCTTGAAGGCGCGAGGCTTGACTGTCCTGTTATAGGCTTGAGCTACGGTTCTGTGGTACAATGCTGTCTTCTTTTCGGCTACCGCTCTTTTTTCATCCAAAGCTTCAAGGTCCAGCAGGCGCCATTCCGAGCATGACTTTGTATCCCATTCGAGGTCGTTAACAGCTGCTGTTCTGGCAGTGGGGATGGTAATCTCTACTGGTGAAATGGCATCGGACCCGTACACGAGTGAATATGGCGAGAAACCTGTGGCACTTCTTGAAGAGGTGCGGTAGGCCCATAAAGCATCCGGCAGGTGAACACTCCAACCTCCTTCATACTCATAAACCATTTTGCTTAGGATCCTCAATAAAGTCTTGTTTGTGGCTTCCGCTTGACCATTTCCTTGTGGATAATAAGGCGTGGAGCGGCGATGCTTGATACCATAACCACTAAGTGTCGAGCTTACTTGCTTATTGACAAACGGGGTGCCATTGTCAGTGACAATCTTGTATGGGATCCCAAATCTGCATACAATATTTTCACGGATGAAATTGGCAACGGCAGCTCCCGTGGCCTTCCGCAAGGGAACCGCTTCTACCCACTTTGTAAAATATTCGGTGGCCGTGATGATCCATATGTAGCTGTCGGATGGTGGATGAATAGTCCCGATCAAATCAAGCCCCCAAGTATGGAAGGGCCAAGGGGTGCGCATGTCTTGCAGCAGCGTGGGAGGCTTATGACTTAAATTGGCATGAACTTGACATGTGTGACACCTCTTCACAAAGTCGTATGCATCATTCTTCATTGTAGGCCAATAATACCCAACACTCAGCAGCTGCCGGTAAAGCTTCTTCATTCCTTGGTGTTCACCACATTCTCCAGCATGAATTTCTTGCATGACTTGCTGTGCCTCTGACTTTCCCAAGCATTTTAATGGCTCACCATTAAACCCCTTACGGTAAAGAGTTGACCCATCTATGAAGTATCTTTTCATTGTCCTTTTGAGCTTGCGTGCATGCTTGGGATTGGTTGGCAAGACTCCATTGATGAAGGATGCCAAGTATGGAGCCCTCCAATCCTCCGCAAATGAGACGGTGAATGATTCCTCGGTGGAAGGTATTTTTGCACACTTGGGACAATTGGCTTGTATTTCAGCTGCTTGTTTCCTCATTTCTGGCCAGTAATAACCCTTGCGCTGCAGGCGCCGGTACAGGCTGATTATTGGCTCCAAATTGCAAGTGACCTCATGTACCTCTTGAAGCTTCTCCTGTGCTTCTGTTATCCCTATGCAGCGTGTCAAAATACCTCCCGGAAGGCGTCTGTACAATTCCCCAAAGATGATCGCATAATCCTTCAATTCTTTGATGTTGCTTCCTTTGCCTATTTTTTCTTTCACAAGCTTCCTCCAGTCATCCTCTTCCAGCTGCTCCTCTTGAGCCATTGCTTCAACAACTGGTATGTCCTTCTTGATTACTGCAATATTGGGCTGTTCGTCAATAAATGAGAGCCTCGACCCCAAAGTGGCCAACGCATCAGCATATCTATTGGTGACTCCCGGGATATGTTCCAACACAACTTGTTTGAACGAACGAACAAGCCTTTCAGCAGCTGTACGATATGGTGCCAATGCTGGTTCCTTCACGGCGAAATTTCCTTGTAATTGACTCAGCACCAAGTTTGAATCCCCAATAATTTTAATTCTTTTCGACACCCATTTCCCTTGCTGTAGACATCCCTGCAATAAAAGCTTCGTACTCTGCCGTATTATTCGTGCATGGGAAATTTAGCTTAAACGAGAGGGCCGTAGCTTGCCCCTCGGGATTGACAAGCACCACACCTGCCCCTCCACTCTTTGATGTAGAAGACCCATCGAAGTAGAGGGTCCATGGTTCTGCCTCCGTGACAACAGCAACCATTTCCGGCAGCTCCCCCAGAACTTCCTTAGAGATTGTTGATTCTTCAACTTCGGGAAATAGAGCCAACATGTCAATAACAGCCTGCCCTTTGATGGCTTTTGGAGTGGTGCAGGTGATATCGAACTCGGACAGCTGTAGCAACCAACGTGCAAGGCGCCCGGATAATATTGGCCTTGTAAGCAAATATCTTACGGGATCAGACTTCACCATGAGATGTAGCTTGTGAGCAAGGAAGTAATGCCGCAAGCGCTGTGCAGCATAGACAAGAGCAAGGCACAAAAGTTCAGTTTTCGGATATCTTACTTCAGACCCCCTTAGTTGCCTACTTACGTAATAAATAGGACTTTCTTCCCCACTATGATCATCTTGAGCAAGTAAGGCCCCAACCGCTGTGTTTGTTGCAGCCAAATAAAGCTTGAGAGGCAGCCCCGGAATAGGTGCTTTCATAGTGGGCAGCTTGGCGATTATTTGTTGCACCTTCTTGTAAGCTTCTTGGCACTTCTCACTCCATTCATACCTCTTGCCTTTCTTGAGCAATGGAGTAAAAGCACTCATGGTGGCAGCAAGACCTGGGATAAAGCGCCGAATATACGATAATCTTCCCATAAAGCTTTTCAATTCTTTTGGGCTTTTAGGCGGTGCAAGAGAATTTATGGCTTTAGTCTTTTCTGGATCCACATCTATGCCACGCTGGTGTACTTGAAACCCCAAGAATTTACCAGATGAAACCCCGAACGCACACTTCTTTGGATTCATCTTCAAACTGTACAGCCGACACCTTTCCAGCACTCTTCTTAAAACTTCTTGATGGCCTTCTCTGGTTTTGGACTTCACCACAAGGTCATCCACATAATCTTCAACTTCTTTTCCCATCATGTCGTGAAACACCGCTGTCATAGCTCTTTGGTAGGTGGCGCCAGCATTTTTGAGGCCGAATGGCATGACCGTATAATAAAAATTCCCATACGGTGTTCGAAAGGCTGTCTTTTCAGCATCCTTGGGAGACATCTTGATCTGATTGTAGCCACTAAACCCATCCATGAATGACAACAAGCCTTGACCCGAGGTCGAATCAATTAAGATATCCATGTTTGGCAGCGGGAACTCATCCTTTGGGCAAGCTCGGTTGAGATCTCGATAATCCGTGCATATTCTGATCACACCGGTTTTCTTCTTCACAGGGACAATATTTGCTAGCCACGTAGGATGCTTGATTGGTTTAATAAATCCGGCAGCTAACAACTTTTCAATTTCTACCTTGATTTGCTTCTCAACTTCAGGATGAAAATTCCTTCTTGCCTGCACGACAGGTTTTGTACCAAGCTCAATATTCAGAGTATGACTTACTAAGCTTGGGTTCAGACCAGGCATTTCCTCATAGCTCCAAGCGAACACATCTCGAAATTCCTTTAGCAAAGATATCAAGGCCGCCCTCTCCTCATTTGTTAAATGAACACTTATGGAAATGGGCCTCGGGGCAGAGGGATCCTCACTCAAATCAATTGTTTCCAGCTGCTCAGCTACTGCTGACGATCCATCTTGCATGTGTCTGGGTGCTGCCATTGGCTCCTGGAAAGCACAAGGCAAGGGTGCCTTGTCGTTGGAACTCCCACAGCTATTTGTTTGCATTACTTTTCCTCCATACTCGGGGCTTTCCCGTAAGACACGGTCAAGCCCCCAACCCCGTCATAAGCGGTACACGATACGTCCATCGGGCAGCGTCACCTTTGAGCATTGGGGATGATCATAGGCATGGTTGTTGACTTCCGAGTGCCTCTTTCTCTCTCGATCGACAATGGTGATGAGCTCCTCATTGCTTAAATCACGAATTTCAGTCCATGAAGGAAGGTAGGTCCCGAAATCCTTGGATGGATTGCTTCCAGCACCTGTGCATTCAGTGTAGAACTCTGCTTCAGAGTAGTGAGCTTCATCTTTGTTGAAAGGTGCTTGGTTTCCAGGTATGCGTAGCGGCCTCAGCCCAATCCTTCCTTTTACGCATTGATGATAGGTAGAGACCACAAGCTTATGCTTGTTGAGCCATGGCCTTCCAAGCAAAGCATGGTAAGCCACATCCACATCCACGACATAGAACTTAGTAAGTGACCGAATTGGCCCAACCTTCAAGTGTACTTGTAGATGCCCGACTGTGACCTCACTCTTATTCCCGAAACCACTGATGTTTGTTTGTGATTGGACAATTTTGGACAATGGGATACCAGCTGCCGTAAGCACAGACAGAGGTAATATGTTGACAGAGGAACCCGTGTCCACCAAAGCTCTTCTTATGAACACATCATTGATCTGTCCCTCCAAGTAAAGCGGCCTCCTATGGTCCGGGTATGGAACTTCCATGTCTTCGTCCGTAAAGACAATAGCATTGTCATTTCCCAAGAATGACCTTTGTGGTTGAGTTGTAAAGCATTGAGAATTAGACTCCTCAGAGATATTCATCAAGGCTACAGCAGCTGCTTCCCTTGCTTGTGGCCCGAAGCCAAGTTGGTCAAAGAGTGATTTGAACTTTGGGTTTCTTTGAAGGACCTGTGAAGCTGTGGGCCCCTGTTTCATGCTTAAATAACGTTCCATCACACTTGTTTCAGCTTCCGTGATATTATGAAATGTCACGGCAGCTGCTTCCTGCTGCTCTGATAAAGCCCCCGAGTAGCGCTCTTCCGGCATGTCCAAAACAAAAATTTCGCTGCCCGAGTTGTCACCCCATCCATCAGCGAGTGGCCATGGTGTGTTGTAACTTGAAGGCCTCGAATATTTACACCAATATGCCTTTTCCATGTTTCCGCAAGGTTCCCATATGGCTTCCGGCGGCTTTGGGTCATTCCTCCAAGGGTGGCACAATTCATCATCATCAAGTATATCATCAGAACATGTAATGACAGCGGCTACCTCTTTTCCCCTTCGTTTTGGCAAGGGGTCTTCATCAATGGTTTGCTTCCTAGAGGGAAGTTCAAGGACTCCCTCATGTATTTTGGCGTGTAAAATCCTCCTCAGGCTCTGACAGGCAGTGGTTGGATGCCCCACAAATTGATGATAACGGCAGTACCTAGGATCATTCTTTTCCTCTCGAGTAGGAACCTTGTAGGGTCTGACAGGTTTGATTACGCCATCAGCAATCATTGTGTCAAGGATAGCATGAAATTCTTCATCTTTGCATGGTAGTGGTGGATACGTCTCTCTATCCTTGCGTTTGCGTGAATTGTAGTCGCTGGATGGCTTGTCATCTATTGCTAATGTCTGATGCGCTTCCTTCTTCTCATTTCTCCAAGTCCTTTGTCCTGGTGGCCTGACGGACATGCTCGTCTTCCTCACAGCTTCCAGCAGCCGAGAAAATTGACTAATGCCAATATTCTCCAAATACACTCTATAATCTGCCACGATATTGCTGATGCAAATTTCAACAAGCGCCTCCTCGTCTTTCTCATCATAGCAATCCAATGCCAGGTCCCGGAACCTGCGTACAAAGTCCACGGGATCCTCACCATGCTTTTGGCGGGTGTTGTTGAGTTGAGTGGTGGTGACTCGTTCTTCATGCTGGAAATACTTCTTACAGAACCTGCTTGCCAGACTTTCCCAGGAATGAATAGAGCCTGGTGCCAACGTTGTATACCATGTGTAAGCACGATCAGTGAGACTCTTTGAAAATTCTCTAAGTCGAAGATTATGATCACCAGCATACGGTCCCAAGGCATCGATGAAGCGATTGACATGCTCCTTCGGGCTCCCCTTTCGTCCATCAAAGAGGACAAAGGTCGGTGCTTCATAGCCTTTCGGATATGGCTGCTGGAGTAAGTTTGATGGATACGGCGGCTGAGGAAGATACTTCCAATCTTCCTGACTTCGACTCAGCTCCTTTTCCAGCATGGCAACAACGTCCTCCTGAGTGACAAAAGATGGTCCCTTCTGCTCAGACTCCTTTCCGGCAGCAGCAGATTCCTCCTGTGGGTGCTTCTCGTTCACTTCACTTGGCTTTGGAGCCGAATTTTTGAGTTCTTTTATCATCTCTGCCATCTCCCTCTGGGTGTCACCCATAGCACGAATGGCTGCAACAAGATCTGTGAGGGTAAAAGTTTCCCTCACTTGCACGTTCTTCTTCTCTAGAAGAGGCATGTTGCCTTGACTCTGAGTCAGCATGGCTTGGCCCATCCTGGGAAGTTATGTTGTTGCTTCTGGTCTTCTTTCTTGGAGGCATTGATGAAGGTAATGGCTTAATCCCCAGCAGAGTCGCCAATTTATGTAGGGGACTTTTTCTTCCTGCAGCTAACGGGCTGGGCTGCTGCAAAAGGTGGACTGAGGAGATTGCCCCTTTTCGTTTAGGTTCGAAAATTAAGCCTCAAAATACCTCGAAAGGGCAGCGAAACCTTAGGAGATATTTTGAGTAACCTTCACCAATGAGAATAATAGTGACTTACAGATAATTTTGGCATGCTTTCAGATGGTTTTTAGGCTCAGCATGAGTGGCATGAGGCATGGAGAGCAAAACCAACATGGGTTTAGCACTAAGAGAGAAATTAGGCTTGGTTTATGAGGAATGAAAGCGTTTAAGTAAGGAATGGGGTGTTTTTTGAGGAATTTTGGCTAGAGGAAGAGAAAAAGAGAGACAGGGTTCTTCCAGCAGCTACCAGAAGAACAAATTGGAGAAGAAGATGAACAGTGCACGAATCTAAGTTTTGCAAGATAGAGAGAAAAGCTTGCTCTCTGCAGGTTGTGAGTTGTGTTTTGTTGGGTAGGGGAAGGCTCAATTTATAGCTGCCGGAAATCACCATTTTTCAAGAAACCCTAATGGCTCCTTCTTACTTTGGCTGAGATTTTCTTCCTTTCTCCTCCCCTTCTCTGACTTCCCTTTCTTGGCAAAGATGGCTTCTGTCTATCTTCATGAATTTAGGAGATTTTGGGGGCTCAACATCCCTCTTTCCCGCGGCTGTGCAATGAGGGCTTCCACTCTTAGTTTGCTGTTTTTCTTCCTTTTCTTTCCTCTTCCTTGGCTGAATCTGATGAAGGAAAGGAGGTGCAAATGTATGCTGGTCCAAGGGATGCTTCTGACAGCATGCAGGATGGTATTCATCGGTTCTTTGGATGTCTCTGGCTTGGGACTGGTTTCCAGCAGCTTACTTAAGGAGCCTGCCATCTACTCCTTCACGTGTTCTCTGTTTTTCAAAAAAGGCTGAAGCTCTTGTGGGCCTTTTTTGGGTTTTTCTAAGGGCCAAGATGGCTTTCTAAGCAAATGGGCTTATTGGGCTTGATTTGGGCTTATTATTATTTTTGGTTGGGTTATCTCTTGGCTAGGTTATTTTGCTTGGGCTTTTGGGCTATTTTTCTCTCTTGTGCCTACCCACATGTTTGGACCTAAGAAATGGGCTTGAGTCTCGAGGCTCCCAAGCAACCCGAGACTTTCCATTTCTTGGTCCATCAATGGGCCTCATGTTGATTTATTACCATCCATGCCACAACCCACTCAAGCAAGCCCCGGGTCTTTTTTGAGTGGCTTGGGCCCACCTAGGCTTGTAGCGTGGTTGGGTGCGAGATAACGGCACGGCATGTTGCTCGGCATATTTTACTTTATCGCCCTTGGGAAGGATTGTTTTAATTTTTTGTGCATGATTATATTTTATCATAGCATGATAATTTGTTTATTTAGCGTGGCGTGTGGGTTATAACTTGCATGCGATAGATCCCTTTTTTCTTTTCCCTTATGAAATATTGTATTGGGCTGATAATTGTTCGGGCCCAATCCATGGATTTTTTGGGCCTCAACACTTAACAACGTACAAAGTTCAGTAGATGTGGGGTTTTATTACAAAAGGCATTACTTTGGTGTTATTATGAACGGAACTATTTATTATAAGTTATAATTTATTTAGTCAAATTTCCGACGTGAGACTTTATATTTTTCCCTATTAACTACTTGAAAAAACTAAAAGTTAGACTAAATTGCGGGGATTTAAAATATGGTCATTCAAGAATACAGATAATATATTCCATAATAAATGGACTATAGCATGCTCACTTGTGATGCAAATGGAAATATACATGTTCAAGCAAATTGACTAAATGATTCATGGAGTGAAAACTAGCTAATGGAAAAAGTGGTCAAGTACTTGATGAATAGTTAAATAATGTGAATGATAGATTAATATTCTAAGAATATAAATGTTATAAATGAAAAAAAACAGCCAGTGGACTAGAAGTCATGTGAGTTTCATTTTGATCCAAAACAAATATTAATTTATAGACAAATGTGAAACAGATAAAGATATAAGAGCACTTCCAGCAGTTTTCTCTTTGCCATGGCAAGGGGAGGACTAGGGCAGCTACTATTCAAGTGAATAGTGGCTGCCATTACAAAAAAGCAATGTATGTTTCCAGCAATTGCCTTTTGCCATGACAAATACTATTCATTTTTTTTATTTTTTTACATAAACAATTAATTTGGATAATATTTTCGGATAGGATTTTTGGGTTCTTACGTGTCAATACTATTCATATCTCATAATTAGATAAAATTTTCGAATAAGATTTTTGGTTTCAAAATTCAAAATTCAGATAAATTTATTATTAAAAAAAAAATTCAATAAATTACCTTTTTATTCAAAACATTTCATACATAAAAAGCAAACCACAACTAAAGCATAACTAAAAATACAACATAAACTTAATAAATTAAAAGAACATCTTCACTTCACTTCATTCACCTTCATTGCCTTTCACCGCCCATAAATGCTCCATCAAGTCAACTTGACGTCATTCATGAATATACGACGATTGCATATCCGTATAGTGATCAATCATACGGGGCATGAAACTACCGTCCCTAACCAACGGTTCATGTTGCACTGGTTATCCATTTGGCCTCATGGGTTTCTCATAAATTCATGTCAAGGCCGTACTCATGGGATCTTGTTCATACACTTCATCAACATCGTAATCATACTCATCCTCCACAATCATGTTACGGAGGATGATGCATGTCATCATTATGCTCCTAAGTACCTCCTCGTCAAATAGACGTGTCGCGCCCCTAATAATAGCCCAACGGGCTTGGAGGATACCAAAGCACCTCTCCACTTTTTTTTTGTAACCTCTTTGATAGGCAGCAAATACTTTTTGCTTCTGGGATTGGGGATGTGGAAGCAATTTCATAAATGTGGTCCACCTCGGGTAGATGCCGTCAGCTAGATAATATCCATTTTGGTAGACAATATTGTTGATTTCATAGGTGATATTCGGGGCTTCACCTCTCAAAACATCACTGAACACCAAGGATTGACCCAGGACGTTCAAGTCGTTTTGAGATTCAACAACTCTGAAGAAGACGTGCCACACCCATGTATCGAATCCAGCAACAGCTTCAAGGATGATACTTTTTTGCCCTTTCCTATTTCCATAATCCCTTTGCCAAGTAGTTGGGCAATTCTTCCATAGCCAGTGCATGTAGTCGATGCTACCAATCATGCCAGGAAATCCTCAAGCTTTGGCTTTTTATAGAAGCCGTTGTAGGTCCCTGGGCGTAGGTCTGCGCAGGTAGTCCTTGGTGTACAAAGTTTTCATTGCATCACAAAATCTCATCAAGCTCTCCAAAGCAGTGGACTTCCTCATCCGGGCAATCTGCGAGGTAGTAACTCCCTTCTTGTTCGAGCTTGCTTGTCTGCTAGGAGAGCTTCCTGCCTCATTGACAGCTTGAATTACTGGTGTGAACTGCAACTGTTTGCTCTTCTTGAGCCCTTGGGCTGTGCATCTCCTAGTCATGGCTTGGTCACTGTTGATCTGCCCGATTCCGCCCCTAGGGATGGGGTAGCGGATCTTCTGGTGTAGGGCAGATGTGATAGCCTCAATCTTGTTGATCCAGGGTCGGCCTAAAATTCTGTTGTAGATGGAGATCTCGTCGATGACCATGAAGGTTTGCGAGCAGACCACTAGGGGTGAGTGGACGTCAAGGTCGATCGTTCCAATAGTAATTGACGTGGCCCCATTGGAGCCGGTGAGCGATCTGGCAAGTTTGCTAATCTTGGGCTCTAACCCAATTTGTTGGATAACAGATAGTTGCAGGATGTTGGTTGCGCTGCCCTCATCTACATGAACTCACTCAATCACAGCTTGCTCAATTTGGATGCTGATGACCAGGGTGTCATTATGTAGTAGGTCAAGCTCGATCAAGTCCTTCTTCTGGAAGCCGATGATGGGTGTATCCACAATGGTTGGTACTCCCGTTGTGACTTAGGAGACATAAGTTGCCTGAGCGATCTTTCTCTTGTGCTCCTTGGTGGTCAGCCCGGACCCCTGGGAGTCAGCTAGAATGGTGTTGATTCTAATGACCTTTGGAGAGGTTCCTTGGCAGCTACATCGCGATCCTCAATATGCTGGATGGCCTTCTTTGCGATGAATTCTGTGCAATGGCCTTCTCTGACCATCTCCTCCAGGTGCCTTTTCCAGGCGTTGTAGTTGTTAGTGTAATGACTGTGCTCCCCGTGGAATGCGCAGTACTTATTGGTGTCCCTCTCAGAGGGGTCTCCCCTCAAGGGTAGTGGCATTCTCACCCATGGCTTATCCTTCACTTGTGCCAGGATCTGGTGGATCGGGATAGCGAACTCGGTGAAGGCCCCTGTTTTTGAGCCTCCCTCTTGGGGCTGCGATCTGTGCTTGTCCTGGGCTTTTTGCTCAAACTTGTTGCTCTTTTGGCTTGCCTGCTTCTTCGGGTGGTCAACTTTCTTGCTGGCTTTCTTCGCGGCGATATGATCATCGTCCCAAAGTGCGTAGCGCTCTGCCGTCGCTAACACTTCCCCCAGGGTTTGGCTTGGAGTTATGGCCAGCTCCTGGTATAACTCGTGCTCGGTTGGCAAGCCCTTCTTGAAAGCTAAGAATGCAACTTGGTCATTGCATCCTATGATGTTAGCCTTCTCATCCTTAAACCATCTCAGGTAGTCTCGTAGAGACTCGTCTAGCTTCTTGTGCAGGTTGAACAGGTGGTCTGCATGCTTTCTAACCGTCTTGTATGAGGTGTACTCCTTCGTAAAAATGAGGGCGAACTCCTTGAAGTTGCCTATTGACGTGGACGGTAGAGTGTGGAACCAATCTTGAGCTGCTCCTCGCAGAGTCATCGCAAACACTTTGCACATCAGGGCGTCGTCTGCCTTATACAAGATCATGGCGCTCTTGAAGTGCTTCAAATGGCTCTCAGGGTCAGAGTCCCCCTTGAATGGAGTGATGGATGGTGTTGTAAACCTCTTTGGCGACGGAGCTCATTCCATCTCGTTAGTAAAGGGCAAGCAGTCAACTCGATCAAGTTCCTTACAGAGGGCCTCCTCCGTGCTTCCTTTAAGTCAGAGACCTCAGAGTTGGTCATTTACTAGCTTCTCTACATCCTCTGCCCGCAGGGTTGTTATGTAACTTTGGCTTTGAAAATGAAGTACAAAAGTGTAAAATCACACCCACCACCATAGCCACAAAGCAATAACTTTCCAAAGCCAAAGTTACATAACAAAACAAGGTCATTCAGAAAAAGAAAAAAACAAAACAAAACAAAACAAGGCCACAAAAAAATGGAATAAACAAAAGTGTTGGAACCCAATTATATGCATTGAAAACTCGAACATAAGTTATAAAACAATTTCGCACAGAAAACTGAACCCTTAAAGATTCTGAGTTCACTTGGATTATTGAAGCCTCCATCAACTTCACCTCTCTTCACATCATCGTTGTTGCTTCTTCACGGAAATAATAACCGATTGAAGTTTTGCTAGTCTTTTCACACCTTGTTGTTGCACTCAATTGAAAGCCCAGACGAATTTCACTAAATTTTTAGGAGCCCTAATCCTAATATGCTTCAAAATGGCCAATTTTGCAAGCTTTAGGGAAGAGGTAGAGACGAGCTTTTACATGGGGCTTTGGACGACAAAATTGCCCCTCCACATGAGGGGCACGTCGTTACTCCATTAAAAAAATTGATGGAAATTTCAACATGTCCTTTAAATTGCTATAAATATGAAACTATATGGTCAAAAATGACGAAATTGAAATTACAAGGTCAAAAGTGACTGAATTGCCAAACCACGGGATCATAAGTGACTTTTTGCCTTAATCGCCAGACAAACATCCAAGTCTTCTCTTCCAGACCGCTGCTCCCCGCCACATCCACCGACGACAGCGACAAAGCCCACACTGCCATCATTCATCCTCTGCGTCCCCATCCCTCCTTCATGCTCCATTGTTGTTGGCGTCGTCTCCCTCTTCTCGTCGGCTCTCTCATCCTCACCTCTCTCTCTCTTCTCTCTATTCAGGCCAACAACAGTGAAGGAGACGACCTTGCCAGCCTCCAAATTTGAGGTGGCTGACTTCAGATTTACAGGCCAATCTCTCCCACCCTCCCCATTGCGAGGTCAACTCATCATTTCTCTGTTATTCTTTTCTCTTTTCTTCGAACACACCTCACTCTCAGTTGTTTTCTGAGTTCTATAATTTTTTTTCCTGCTTTACTTTTGACTTATAGGTTGCTTTGTTCTCTTTTAGGTTTTCAGTTCTCTCTATATCTCTCAAATCCCAATTTGGGAATTTCAGTTGAGACCCAAATTCAGATGCTGATTTGAGGTAATTTCTCTCTTGTAGGCACTGTTACTTTACATTTGAATGGTGAATTACTCAATTTAGCTTGGGAATGAATTGTTTGGGTTTATTGATTAATGGTGCGTTTGTCTCATAAGAATCTATCTGTTTTGATTTGGGTTTGGCTTTTGTTATATTGTCAATCAAAAAATTGGTGAAGTTGTAAAAGATGTAGCTTGCCCCTTTTTCATTTTATTTTGTATTTTCTTATTCTGTCATAATTTTCTGGTAACCGAACCGATTCCACCCCAATTTATAGAATTGAGGGTTAGGTTCCGTTTCGTTCTTTTTTTTTTCCTTCTCTTCTCTTCATTAACTTAATCCTACAAGTTCTATGTCAGCCATGGAATTAGTCGTTTCTTCCATTAAACAAAAGCTCTATCACCTTCCATCAAAAAAAATGTTCAGTTTGGAAGTTTAGTCGGCCTGAACAAACAATTCTGGCTCCGGTCATGTTTACGCTCAAGTGTCAAAGTAGGTGGGGAAGCAGTGCACAGGTTGTCAACAATGATAGTTAGCACAAAGAATTATCCCTCATATCTTCAAGACACTGCTCCACTAAAGAATGCAAATACATCCCACCAGTTGGAACTGCTAATGAAAGTGTTCCACAATTTTCAAACACATTTTGTAACCTGTGCACCGCTTACCTGCCTACTTTGCGAAACAATCGTGTTGCACTTGCATTGTTTTCCTGGGATGGGTCAGGGTCTTAATTGCAAGGTAAGGAATGTAAGTTCTTTTATTTTTCAGTCTAGATATTAATCAATTGAATGAACCATGTCCATTCAATAAGTGTTTTAAATTCTATTTCAAAGAATGTGTTGTACACCAAAGCTTGACCCAGGAGATACCTTGTCATAAGTTTTTGTGTAACTTATTACACATCTAGATTGTCATAGTTGAAAAGAGATCGCCACAAGTACAAAACGTTATGCTTCAGTTTTGGATATAATGCCTCTAGTTTTGTTTCTTTCTTCTGCTTCTTCGTGTTTTGGTTCTGTTCTGTTTTTGTTATATGTAAAGTTAGCTTGAGTAATACAAAGAAAATTAATCTTATTACTCGGAATTTTTTGTTTCATGGTTGTCTGATTGTGTGACATGGATCTCTAATTTTCTCACTGAAGTTATTTCACACATGGTATAATCTTTGCATAGAGCTTGAGCTATAAGAAATTCCTCATCATATGTGTTTGGGGTATAGAGTAACTTATTTGACAAAGATTCTTGTTCCTGAAACGGGATCATACTGACTACAAATTTGTACATGGAGCTTGAGCTAGGAAACTTCCAACCATATGTCTGAGAGGTATAGCATAACTTAATTGACATCATAGATTCTTGTTCCTTAAAGGGGATCATCCTGGCAGCAAGGCCGACTACAAATTTGTACATGGAGCTTGAGCTAGGAAACTTCCAACCATATGTCTGAGAGGTATAGCATAACTTAATTGACATCATAGATTCTTGTTCCTTAAAGGGGATCATCCTGGCAGCAAGGCCTCCTATTTAAGTTCTTGTGCTGCATTTTTATTTATTCTGCTTCGTAATACTCTTTGTAATGTTTCCTTCTAAAGAATTAAAAAACCATATGGCGTGTTTGAATTTTTTTTATTTGTTGGTTATCTGATTGTGTAATGTCAGTTTTGAAATTTGATTGAATTGATTTGTGTTTTCATGTTAAGATGAAGCATACATGGTGATGCTTTTGGATTGGATCTTCTCTATCTTCAAAAAAATTTAGCTTTTGTTCTACTCCTTTTTGAAGTTCGGCATACATGTTAAATTAAAAAAATCATCTTTCATGCTTCTTGACAGAATGTATCTCTGCGTGAGCCCGGAACAGCAAGCAAGGAAACGCTACTTGGTAACTTGTCTGCCATTACATTCAAGAAATGTTGTAACAATATTTCCTTATTGAAATGTTTAAACTATCAGTAATATTAGTAAATCAAATGACTGAGAATTAAGAACTATTACAAGTGAGACAAAACGCTTATACCTCTCCCAATGTACAATGCTTCTTTTCTTCATTAAAGTGCCCACTGGAAGAACATCACTTAATTATTCCTTTATATCTTTCATTTTTTACCTTTGATTCCCCCTCCCCTTGGTCACCCTTCCTTTCTTTCATAATCATACAACTCAAAAATCTCCCATCTCTCTCTCTGTCTCTCTCAATATTTTTATATAGTCACACACACACACATATATATATATATATATGCATTTATATGTGGCTATAGGTGCAAATGCAAGCTCTGAAACCACTTATGTTCTTTCGTTCACCTCCAAAATTCCAATGCCTTCCCTCTAACACAGCCAAACTTTCCATATCTCTTTTCTCTTCTCTGTCTTCACCCATGAAAATCCCAAACCCAAATGGAAACTCTCACATAACAGATTACCTTATCAGTACCTTCAAATTTACCAAAACCCAAGCGTCCTCAATCTCGAATCGCTTCTCCTGGGTCACATCCCCTGAAAAGCCCCAATCCGTCCGTAGCTTTCTTCGAGAGCTTGGATTCTCCGATACCCATATCCGCTCTGCTGTGCTTGGCTCACCCCAAATCTTGTTTTCGAATATTGACAAGACCCTAAGGCCAAAGCTTGAGTTCTTTCAACAGTTAGGTCTTTCCGGTTCTGATCTCGCTAGTTTGATTTCCAAGAATTCCACGCTTTTGACTGTTAGTTTGGAAAGAAAATTAGTACCCTGTGTTGAAATTCTCAAGAAAATCTTAGGGAATGATGAGAATGCCAAGGATTTGATTCGGGTTTTGTGTAGATGCAATTGGGTTGTGAGGAAAGATCCAGAATCAAGATTGTTGGGTAACATTGCCTTTATGGAGAGTTGTGGAATTGTTGGTTCTCAGCTTACCATGCTATTGAAGAGGCAGCCATGGCTTTTCATTGTGCAAGAATCTGTACTTAGAAGCCTTGTTTCACGGGTTCTGGAAATGGGTTTCTCATTGAATTCTAGGATGTTGGTTCATGCTCTCTACACAGTCAGTTGTTTGCGCAATGAGACAATCAGCAGAAAACTGGACCTGCTTTGTATTTTTGGCTTTTCAGAGGATGAATGTATGGAAATGTTTAGAAGAACTCCAGGTTTGCTTAGGACATCGGAGGAGAAGTTAAAGTTAGGAATTGATTTCTTCTTGAACACGGTTAAGTTCAAAAAGTCAGTATTAATTCATACACCTTGGATTTTGATGTTTAGCATGGAGAACCGAGTGATTGCCCGATACAGGGTTTTAGAGGTTATAAAGTCAAAACGGCTATTGAAGAGGGATCCAACTTTTTATGCTGCACTTGTTTTGACAGAGGATGAATTTTTGGATAAGTTTATATCAAGATTTAGGGATGACGCAGAGGTATTGTTAGTTACTTACAAAGCTCATCTGCTGGATTCTACTCAGGAAGAAGATTCTTAGTACAATTCAATATTTCATCTTCCCAGGTGGGAGTTCTAGGCCACATTTGAATCAAGACTGTATCACATGGTGGTGGTTTTGGGTTCAGACGGATCTGAAAAACCCCTTTGTGCCTTGTCTGGAGAATGGGTTGTGAGTAGCCTGAAAGTTTAAGGATATGCAGGATCACCATGACTACATGAGATACTTAAGATTTGGATATTATTTTTCTGTATTTTTTTATACGATGTTATGTTGCATTGTTCTGGTTCTGATTTGTCCGTGTTCTTTGTAATGTCCCATTTTTCATTGTTTAAACAAAAAGAGAAGAGAATATATCATATTTGAAGGTCGGTTTGTATGAGTATATTTTTGCCTCTGTCAGGTTATCGGATTGTGTACTTTCAGTCTCTGAATTTGATTGAGCTTGTTCATTATTTCTGCTTAGTTGCATCCATACAAGAATGGGGTGTCATGAACTTTTATTAATTGTTTGGGGTATTTAACTGGTTCATGGGTTTTGAAGATGAAGATACATGGTGATGCCCTTGGTTGGATGTTCTCTATCTTCTAAACACTTTTTACTGTAGCTTTTGTTGTACTCCTTTCTGATGACATGAAACAGAGGTTCTCTGTTTGATGGATAACTGTTTTAATCTAATTCCCTCAAAACTTGACTTATCAAACAGAGAACTTTTTTAAGTTGTCAACCATTAGTGACTTGATCCTTAGGGACCTTTAACTTTACTAAGAATCAATGGGTGTAAAGTAGTTTGAACTCCTTATTTAAGATCTGTCTATTTTTTCACCATCTATGCTGAAAGGATCAACACACTTTATGGTCCAAATATGAGGTGGCACAAACACCTTGCAAGCACTAGCTATGAACCTACTTGCAGGGTGGATAGTTGGACATGGGTCATGCATGTATTGAATTGCACTCAGAAAAAGAAAAAAAATTCCCATGGAATATAGGGGTAATTGGTATGAACAAGTTGACGTGCAAGTCCATTGCCTAATTTAACTAGTTTTGGTAATGGATAAACATTACAACTAAGAATAACTCTTGAACGTTAAATTTCTTCTTCATCTTCCCACCTCTAACGACGACCACATGTGCTCTCACGTCATCCAATTTTGGATTTGGATGTGTTGGCTATGTCCATGTTCATGCTCATCAGTTGTGATAAGCTTGATCCTGGTATAGCTTGAGTGTATTTCTATGTTATTTTACTCAGAAAGGGTATCTTTATTTCTAGCCTCGTTCTGGCAATTTTTTTGTTTCCATGGATGTTAATTAGTTGCCTGCTTGACAACGGTCCAAACTACCATTTGTAATAGCTCAATGTCAAATTTTCTTTTTTCCTTTTGCGAACGATATTAGGGTCCTCCCCTTGTGCCTTACTACATTTTCTTTGTGGTGGTTGGTCTCCATTTTGTTGGTTACATCCTCCTCTCCACCGCCAAAATGATGCATTCAATCCCTTCAAATCTTTTAAGCTCTTGGTTGAATGTTTTCTGTATCTAGAATGGACCGACACTATTTCTTCATTTCAAACAGACAAATTGCAAAGGGCTTGCAACTTGGGTTCTGAAGAGTATTTAGGGCCGGAGTGACACAAGCCTAATAAGATACTGACACAAGCTCCTTCAGCAACCGACAGTACAATCGTTGCTTATGTATTTGAGGCCACACCACATGTGTATGGTGGTAGCTGTGACTTGTAGACCAATAATAGCCACAGTTGGCATGTCGTGAACTCTTTAACTACCTAGAGTCTCTATTGTTGTTGGTCCTTGAAAGTCAATAGCCTTATGTTTCATTGTTGAATGTCAACATGTGCAGTACGTGACTGATTGAATAAATGATAACATATACTTTGTCGGCATGGTCATAAACAGTGCATTTTTTGTGCATAAACCAATATCTTTTATGAACTTTGGACATTGTCGTCCCAACTCCCAACTTTTAAGGGGTCGGCCGAGATTTCTGTGTTTCGGATCTCGCCGTTGTTTCTGTAACCTCCTTTTCTTTCGATCTTTCTGAATCTCCGATGTCTGTGTTTTCAATCTCTCCACTGTTGTTTTACCCTTGTCTCTCGACTTATTCCATAAGATAAAATGAGTCTTAAGTGCACCTTCTCGATGAAAGGATTGATATTCATTCCAGTCCATATATGTTGTTAACTTCAACGTGTGAAGGTTTCGTCCATATATGTTGTCTATGAAGGTTTCGTCTGACTTCAAATCATTTGAAAATCACTTTGCAATTCTATGCGAATTACAAACAATTCTATTGGGTTGTTATTTCAAAGTTTTGTTGAAGAATATAACTCCACATCGGAAACTTGATTAAATAAAATAAAATATATAATAAATGGTTCCACTACTAATATTACTGATGCCTTTTGTGATAAAACCCCACACCTATTGGCCTTCGTAGGTGGTTAAATTGGGGACAATATTGGTGTTGCTAGTAGTGGGCCGCTGACCATTCTCTATGAAATTTAAACAAGTTTTTCTTTTGATTTTTCATTTCATTTTATATTATTAAACTGAATTGGTTTTTCTTTTTTACTTTTTTTTTCCTTCTTAATTTGGCTCGGAAAAGTTACATTTGTGCTAAAAAAGTAGGCCATGTGATCATTTTTAATAGAAAATGAGACGGAATTGATAGAAAGGACTCATAATGCAATGTGCAATTTAATTGGAGAATGCTTGTAACAATTTTTTGAGATCACAGACCAAAACGCAAAACGGGGCATCTGTCTTCATGATTTTTGTATGAGGTAATTATGTTAGCTTCTCTTTTGAAAACCCAAGCTTTTCACTTTATCTTGCGCAAAATATATTATTGTTTTCTTGCTGATTGAAACTAATATGTATCTAAAAGTTAGAATAGAAAAGATAAAGAGTAAGCGTTCTGAGTTAGTAAGTAGGTCAGTACAATGCTAATTCCTCTACTCCACAATGTAGTTTCATAATCCAACTCATTCAATTTTTAGGCCTCATTCAATGATTATCCTTGCCAAATTGCATCCAAATTAGAGATCATTTAGCCATTTTTGCGAAGAATTCTTTATTTATCAAAAATATCGTGTTGGTCTATTTAGTTTGTCACAATTAGATAATGAAGAGGTTTTAAATTCGAGTGAAATTTTTGTACGGATGATTTTTCAATAAAGGTACTTAAGAAGGAAACAAGTTGGATTATGAGATACATTGTAGTGTGGGCCGAACTATGCGATTACAGCAGTTTAAGTTACGAAATGGTAAGTGTTTGAGCGCCATTGATACTATATTACTCGAAATTTTTAGTTCAATACTACATTTCCTAAATATCAATCAAGTTGGTGGAAATGAAACCTTTTTTACGTTTGAAAACTACAAAGGAATTTACAAAGAAGATTCTCTACATATCTTAAAACCACAACGATCAAACAGTAATTAATTTATGTAGTACAATAGAAGGAAAGTGACTAAACCAAATACGTACATGATGAAGAGTATGTCCTAGATTTTGTAAAGAATTGGCTAGTATATTGGTTTCTCGAAAATTATGTGTAATGCCAACCTTGAATGTTGTGAAGAAGAGCCTTACAAAACCTGCAGCTGCTTAACCATTAGAAAGAACTGAACTCATGCGGACATCCATATGTAGTAATAATAGCACAAATTTGTAGATGAAACTCAAGCTTTTGAAAATACCACATGTCCGATTGTTACTTTTAAGGGTGGTACTAGAGGCACCAACTTTGGGCACCAACTTGGGCACCAACTCTCTAATAGAGGTGGGGCCCGCCAATACACCGGGTCCCACGCTCTATTAGAGAGTTGGTGCCCAAAGTTGGTGCCTCTAGCATTTTCCTACTTTTAATTATACATTAATTCTCTTTTTGTGTGGGACAGTAGAGAGGCATGTGGCTGTGTTTTGAAGCCGCTGGACGTCGGAAACCCCTATTTAGTCTCGGAGTGATCCAGGAGGATCTACCAATAAAAATAAACATAATCTAATATAATTATAATTAATTATATTATATTATTATATTTTTTAAAACCATACAAACTAATGGTTTATAACGAATTGTTATAAACCATAAAAAGTTAATGGTTTCAAAATGAGTGAGATTTTAGGCCGATCATTCTTTATGGCTTAAAATAATTTACTATTTTAGTTTAGTTAATTTTAGCAACCGAACCTTGTATAAATACATAAGTTATTCATTGAAATGAATCAAGCAATTCTAAAAGCATAACTTAAAGCAGTTCCTTAGCTTCTTCCTTTTGTTTCTCTAATTGTCTTAAAATTCCCCTCGTTCCCTTATTCCTATAAACTAGGAATTCATAGTTCTATTAACTAGAAGTTTTGGATCAAGTGGTATCAGAGCACCAGATCCAAGGGGGTGACGTGGTTTGTGGTCTCAACTCACAACCAACGCAAAGCTTCTAGAGAAGAACTTTTAGGTCCTTTGCTCGTACACCGAAAGCCAAGGTCCAAGAGAGACATTATGACTGGAGAAAACAAACAGGATACATCTGGTGATGGCGATTGCATCACTAAGCTTGAGCAGCAAGTTGAAAACTTGTCTGCATCAATCCTTAAACTCGTGGAGAGTTTGAAGACTGAAAACCTTCACGTCCATTAACTTCATATGAACCTGATCAAATGCTCAAGAAAAAGGTTTTTGAGGATAGCGAAGATGAAGATGACACACAAGCTAATCCAACGAAAAAGGAAGTTGAATCAGGTGACAACAAAAATTCTATTGATACTTTAAAAATTGATTTTAAGGTTGATATCCCTATATATAAAGGAGATGTTGATCCTGAAAAGCTAGATAACTGGATAGATACATTAGAAACTTATTTCACACTTTATAAGTATTCTAATGTGCAAAAGATTAAATTTGCGAGTTTGAAACTTTCAAGCCATGCCCTTACATGGTGGAAGTCTTATCAGAGACGGTATGATGTCTCAAAATTGACTTGGAAGAACTTTAAGATGCTTTTAAGAAAACAATTCTATCCAGTTGGCTATGAAGATGAAAGATGGTATAAGTGGCAACATTTCAGACAAAGATTTAGGCAGCCCGTACAAGAGTATACAACAGAGTTCCACAACCAAGCTATGGTTATGGACATCGACGTCGATGACTACAATGTTTTCATGAAGTATATTGGAGGTTTTGCCGACTACATAAGGAAAGAACTAAAATTGTTCACCATAGATACTATTGAAGAAGCTACTGTGAAGGCCATTGCCATTGAGGCGAAAAATAAAAGAACTGACAAGAAGGATGACAAATTAAAACTTGTCAACAAAACTGACTGGCAGAAAAAAGGGAAGCAGAGCAAGGAAGGTCAAACACAGAAGGTCTACTGTGATCACTGTCAAACCAGCAGACATGCCAAAGACAAGTGTTGGATACTCCATCCTGAGTTGTGGCCAAAGCGAGAGAAAAACAACCAAGGGAGAAATGACAGAAAAACCACCTTAACTGCACAATAAGCAGAAGAGCTTCTAGAGTTCAAGCAACTTGATGTTACACTTACCCTTATGACAAGACCAACAGATATTGAAGACACGTACAACCAGGAAGAGTTGTTTAATGTGAATATTCAAGTGAAGCAAAGTGTTGTACAAGCTATCATTGGCCTTGGAAGTCAAAAAAACTTGATTTCAGAGGCTTTAGTAAGAAAAGTGGGTTTAGACACCACACCACATCCTAAGCCGTACCCGCTAGGATGGATTCAGAAGGACGTTGACTTACAGATCACGAAGCAATGTACCTTCAAATTTTCTATCACCAATCGATATATCAATGAGGTGACATGTGAGGTGGTTCCTTTGGACGTTTGCCAAGTCATAGTAGGTAGTCCATATTTATGGGACCGAGATGGCATTCACTATCGGAGGCTTTGCAAGTATAGACTTCTGAAGGATGGGAAGGAGTTCCATATCAACGTTTGCAAGCCTTAAGCTACAGATAATTTGCTGATAGCTAACCAAGCCAAGAGGTTAGTCAATTCATGTGGGCAATTCATTTTATTGATGATTCGACAGCAAGATCAGAGTTCTAGAGCTGTGACATTGTCTACTTTGTCTTTATCTCCTATGTAATGCTCAAACATAGGGAAATTACAGGAGAAGTTCAAGGACTTATTTCAGGATGTGCATGGTTTGCCACCGAGGAGAGCTGTGGAGCATGATATCCAGTTGGTAGGAGATTCACGTATACCAAACTTGGGTTTGTATCGCACTTCTGTGACGGAATCTGACTAGATCAAGAAGCAAATTCAGGGACTTCTTAAACAATTAGTCATCAAACCTAGTTGCTCGCCATGTGGTTCGCCAGTGTTACTTGTGCCTAAGAAAGACGGAGGCTGGCGTTTGTGTGTAGATTATAGGGCACTCAACAAAATAACCATTAATAATCGGTACCCATTGCCGAGGATTGATGACATGCTAGATCAACTACATGGTGCACATTACTTCACTAAGTTTGATCTCAAATCTGCCTATCACCAAGTCCGCATCCATGAAGAAGATACTTGGAAGACTGCATTCAAAACAAAGCAAGGACTATTTGAGTGGTTAGTCATGCCATTCGGGTTATGTAATGCTCTAGCTACCTTCATGCGATTGATGAATGAGGTATTCCACCCTTTCATTGACGACTTCGTCATTGTATACTTGGATGACATATTGATATTTAGTGTCACATGGGAGGACTATCTTCGTCATATTGCTCAAGTTTTGGAGGTTCTATGAACAAATCAGTTACAGTTAAACGGTAAGAAGTGTGAATTTGGGAAACAACACCTCGTATACCTAGGATTCATTGTTGGTGCAGGAGAATTGAAAATGGACCTAGAGAAAGTACATGTGATTTCTCAATGGCCTACGCCCCGTTCAGTAACTGAAGTTTGGAGCTTTATAGGTGCATGTCAATATTTGCGAAAGTTTATTCGGCACTTTTCACAAATTGCAACACCCTTACATTCTCTTACAAAGGCCAATCAAAAGTTTGAATGGTCGAGAAACCATGAAACCATGAAGAATCTTTCCAGTTGTTGAAACGAAAGATTACAGAGGCCCCAGTACTAGCATTACCGAATCTGCAGAAACCATTTGAAGTGGAAGCAGATGCATCAAACTATGCCATGGGAGCTGTATTATTTCAAGATATGGAACCAGTTGCATACCATTATGAGATGTTTAGTGGACTAGTATTGAACTATCCGACTTATGACAAGGAGCTATATGCAATGCGTCAAGCAGTGAAGCATTGGAGAGCTTACTTGTTAGGAAAAGAAGTTGTAGTTCAATCAGATCATAAATCTCTTTAGTTTTTAACTACACAATCTAAGTTGCAGCAAGCTCGCCATATGAAATGGATGTCTTACCTATAACAATTCAATATTGTGACAAAGTACAAGAAGGGATCAACTAATAAGTTGGCATATATGTTCTCTAGACCACATACACCAGTTAGTTCCGCATTGCTGGTGGCTATGCAAATCCAACCCATTGTTCTTTCTGAATATGCCAAAGGGTACGGCACATGTGCTGATTTCAACTCAGCCTATGCCAAGCTACAACAAGGAAAGACGAGTGAGTTTCAATTGAAGGATGGACTAATGTACAAGGGAGCACAACTGTGCATTCCAGAAAAAGGCGACAAATTGCAGTTGATTTGTGAGACTCATACTTCCAAAGTAACAGGGCATTTTGGAGTTGAGGAAACTTGATTGAATCTTCGTAGTTTTGTGTATTGGCCAAAGATGCATCTCGATGTTTCACAATACATAAGAGGTTGTGTTCTATGCAACACATCGAAGCCTTCCAACAGAAAGTTAGGACTGTATCTTCCATTGCCAGTACCTAGCCGACCTTGGGATAGTATCTCGATGGATTTCTTAGGTGGATTGCCTAACACCAAGTCTAGAAATGACTACTTGTTTGTGGTGGTAGATCGTTTCAATAAGATGGTGATTCTCATTCCATGCAAGAAGACCGTTACTGGAGAAGGAGCTGCTAAGTTATTTTTCCAACATGTTTGGAAGTATTTTGACTTACCTACATCGATTATTTCTAACAGAGACAGTCAATTCTTAGGCCATTTCTAGAGGTCATTATGGGGAATGATGGTACCGGATTGAAAAGAAGCACTGCATTTCATCCACAGACAAATGGGCAAACGAAGGTTGTAAATCGAACTATGGTACACTTGTTGGGGGGTTACAATTCCAAGCATCCGAAGACTTGGGATGAAAGTCTCCCTTACTTACAGTTTGCTTTTCACCGAGCAATTCATGGCTCCACACTCATATCTCCATTTGAGGTTTATTTAGGTTATTTACCCCAGAGTCTTTTTGATTTAGCATTCACTATAAGTGACCAGCCATTAAGTGGGAAAGAAGAAGAACATATTCGAGCACAAAAATTTCTCGAACAAGTCTGAAAGATTCATACTGAAGTGGAGGCACAACTAAACCTTTCTCAGCAACGATATAAAGCTCGCCATGATAAGCATCGTGTGCCATGTAACTTCAAAGAATGTGATTTAGTATGGTTACACCTTGGAAAGGAGTGGCTAACCGGTGAAGGCAAGAAACTGAAACCTATTTGTTATGGACCGTTCAAGATCATCAAACAAATTGGTGATAATGTCTTTCAACTCGAATTACCACCATACATGCATATGTACTCGGTCATCAATGTCGAGAATCTTAAAATTTTTGAGCCATCTTTACTTGATGATGATCCCAACGAAGACACATGTCTTCTATCAATTGATGACTTGCGAATTGAACGAGAAGACCCTTTGTAAGAGGATTGTATATTAGAACAGAAGGTTTGTGAGACTCGACATGGAAAGTATGAGTATTTCCATATTGGTAGAAAAGGTCAATTTCCTAGCAAGTCAAAATGGTATATTTGAGACAAGGTAATAATAAAGTTTCCTCATCTCAATTTAGCTTGACCAGAAGCTCAAGCATCTTAAATGGGGGAGCCATGATCCAGGAGGATCTACCAACAAAAATAAACATAATCTAATATAATTATAATTAATTATATTATATTATTATATTGTTTAAAACCATAAAAACTAATGGTTTATAACGAATTGTTATAAACCATACAAATTTAATGGTTTCAAAATGAGTGAGATTTTAGGCCAATCATTCTTTATGGCTTAAAATAATTTACTATTTTAGTTTAGTTAATTTTAGCAACCGAATCTTGTATAAATACATAAGTTATTCATTGAAATGAATCAAGCAATTCTAAAAGCAGAACTCAAAGCAGTTCCTTAGCTTCTTCCTTTTGTTTCTCTAATTGTCTTAAAATTCCTCTCGTTCCCTTATTCATATAAACTAAGAATTCATAGTTCTATCGACCAGAAGTTTTGGATCACGGAGGGTTTGAGGATGTTGGCACCCAACATGAGTATAGCTAACTAAATACTAGTTACATCATCAGACGTACAAGATGGATAGTTCTTCGGGAGTGAGAAAAGGAGCATGGACTAAAGAGGAAGATGATCTTCTGAGGCTGTTCATTCAGAACCATGGAGAAGGGAAATGGAACCAGGTTTCTCTACATTCAGGTGACACATCTCAAGAAACCCAATTCTAGTTTTAGTGCTTTGGATGTGTGTATATATATATATATTTGATGCAGGGTTAAAGAGATGCAGAAAAAGCTGTAGACTAAGGTGGTTGAACTACTTGAAGCCAAGCATCAAGAGAGGACACTTTGCTGAGGATGAAATAGATCTAATATTAAGGCTTCATAAGCTTTTAGGAAACAGGCAAGTTTTATATATCAATCCCCTTAATTTCCAACCTAGCTAGGAATCACACCATATTTATTCCAGCTTACTATTGTGGATGGATAACAGTTTTGCCATCCTTCATCTTGAGAATTAATCCCTGATCATGCACGACCAAGAACTTTCTCCTTTAACCAAGAACTTTCTTTTGCCATGCTAACTGTCCTAGCTAGAACAGTATGTTCCAATAAAGGAAGCTAACCCCTAATTCTATAAGGTACACAAACCATTTGTAGCTAAACTTGGCTACTTTTGGTTAACACCACACTAATTGTCGTTGGATGACTTTATTTTTTAGATTCATGTAGCATGTAGATTAAATCGATTTTTTTTAATCAAATTTAGCCTCCAAATTCATAAATGTCAGTTTTTTTTTTTTAAAACTTTCAAATATAGTCAAAAACTCACTTAAATTGACCCAAATGCCCTCTAAATTAAAAACCTAACCAAAGGCTAATTGTCATGCTCTTCCAAGCCATAGGCTGAGTACTGAGCACAAGGACACTGCCCTTAAGTGGGCTAAAGGACCAAATGTGGTCACCTTTTTGAAAACCAATCTTTCTTTTTATTTATTTAAATGTGGTCACCTTTTTAAATGTTTTCAAGTGTTGTTTAAAAATAAATAATTAAATTAAACAATATATAATTGTAGAATGTATGAGTATTGTATCATAGTTTTTCTCAAAATAATAAAATATGAAGGACTCTAAAATATAGCCCCGCATGGCTTGAGATGGAAAAATTTAGTCCAACACTATTCTTTAAAAAATTAATATTTTGGAGGGCAAAATTTTTAGCCTTGGACTACATTTAGCCCTATGACTGGAGATGGCCTAATAGCCTTACTCTCACCCACCCTACCCTCAAACACAATGACACTGCTCCTCGTCAATCGCCCTTAATGGATTTGCTTTGCAGTTGTTTATTAGGGTTTGGATACGTACATTTCATGGAACAATTATCATAATATCATGTTTTATATGCACCCACACTAGATATATTTTTGTTTTTTCACTCTCTTTTTGTTTATTTCATTTTATTATTAGTTTTGTTTTATAAAGGTAGAACGGAAAGCAAAGCTAATATAGGTAAGTTTGTGTTATGGGAAGATAGTTTGTGAACAGCGAGGGTCTTGCAATTTTTCTGGACCTTTTATACCTGAGGGAAGGCTTGGTTTGCAAGAAAGTTTAAACCCCACATCAGATGCGGAGCAACATTATTTAAAATTTATTATGTCAAGAAACTAACTTTAACTTCTTTTTTTATTGTAAAAAACTTCCAAACCCACCAATTCAAGCCATAGCCGCGTAGATGATTTTTGTTGCTTGGATTTATGAAAACATTGGCTTTTCCCTTTCTTCTTCTTTTTGGTAATTACATTGTCATTTTTATGATAGGATTCATAGGCATGATTTAGTTGATGGAGCCAATTTTGGTGCTCTTGCTATTTTGGGTTTCTGGTGTAATTGAGTTTTAATTTAGCGGGCATTGAGGTTTTTAAAAAACTGACATTTATAAATTTGAAAACTAAATTTTAGCCATATTTGATAAAACCTCGATTAAATCACACCCATCCAACGACATTTAGTGTGGTGGTATTGCTTTTCCATCAGCTTTTGGAATACTCAACATGGTTTTTAGTGCCAAATATTTGCTCCTCGTGGTAAGTTTTAGTGCATATTGAGACATACGAAATCAGTTGGAATCCAATCCAATGATAGAGACTAGTTTACAATCTGCACTAACAAATGAAATTTAGTGCATGTTTTAATGATAATCATATTATGTTGGCAAAAAAAAAAAAAAAAAAACTTATGTATTTCTTTTCTGTGTGTTATGCATGTAAGGTGGTCATTGATTGCTGGAAGACTTCCAGGAAGAACAGCAAACGATGTGAAAAACTTATGGAAAACTCGACTGGGTAGAAAGATGGCTTCTGTTGTTGTTGAAAAGGTGAAAGAGAAATCTCCAGAGACCAAAAAGGACATCGCAGTCAGACCTCAATCACGGAGGCTCTCGAAAACTTCACACTATTTGAGTGGGCATAAAACTGTAACTTCACGTCATAATCACCAGAAGAGAATTTCAGCAAACTGCCAATACTACCCTCATCGCCTATAGAAGATGAAGTTGATTGGTGGGAAACCTTCTTGGAGGACGAGGACAATGTGGAACGAACAAAATGTTCATGTCTTGTGGTAGAGGAAGACCACTTCACAAACGGTTGTGTTGAAGATTTGGCTGAGTGGACAAGAACAGATTTTAGATATTTGGAAGACTGTCCTTGTTGGATTGGCTCTTCTGATATGGACCTTTGGAATCTATCAACATAACAACAGAAGTTCACCCCTTTGGGACCAACTATGAATTTTATTTCAACCCTTTTTATTAAAACCTTTACTCATATACCATTCTTGCAAAAACTTTGGTAACTCGGAAACTGTTAAGACTTCTATTTGTGCTCAACAAAAATCGCTCAACAAAGTGCTTCAAGAAAATACTACAATAACAATAGTTAAATTTAGCATAAATAATCTTTTAATAAATACCTAAAACATCACTACTATAATATGTGGCTTTGGGCCCCATTGTGCTCTTAACTGCGAGAGACACAAATAATTGTGCCCTATGTCCAAAAGCCACAGTGCAGCGACCTTTAAGCTGACGGTGTTTTCTATAGGGGTTTCTATTACTGTAGGGCACGAATCACAAATTCGTGTCAGACAACACAAAGCACGAAAAAAAGTATTTGTGGTTGTATTCTGACAAAGTTACCTCAGTCACTTTATGAACTGATTAGACATACGTATAAAGACAGACACAACTTTAGAATCGCGCTCAATGCTGTATATTTTATTATATAAAAAAATATTACACAACCCAGTTGCTACTTGCTTAGGCTGGATTCCGCCCCTCCTTTCTGTTTTCACTGAAGCAAGTTACACCCAAAATTGCAAACATGAAAAATTTTACGAATAAACAATCACATTGAATTTGAAATTTCAGCAAATTAGTTGATCTAGATGCTCCGAATAGCATACAAATGCAATGGTAGAATATTTTCACAAGAACCAAACGACCAAATTTTGAAACAAGGAAAATCACTAAATACATAAAACTTAAGAAACCAAAAACAACCAAATCAAATAACAATAACATTAATTCAAATTCCGTAAGAGTATCACCCATCCATTCCTAAATGAAATTCAAAATTGAAAAACAACATAGGGCATCAAACACAGGTTGCTGCCCTGTAGAACATCTCAGGATTGCTTGGCCTCTAATGCCTCGGTTTTGTAATGCTTGGAGCATTAGAATCATGACCACCGTCACGGAAACCTCATCTCCCAATCACCGAGAACCCATACCCACCAAAGCTTGACATCAAGGGTCTAATTGGCATTTTCCACTTCAAGGATATGGACATAGAGGGAGAGAGCTATCAAAAAAAAAGGGTTAGATATTTTCTAGGGTTGGAAAAGATTAAAAATAAAACATATTTATTTTTCTTTTGTTCTTTTTTAACTATGAAGATAAAAAGTACACTAATAGAAATAGGGAAATAACTGGGCTGTGTAAAAAAAAAGAAATAACTGGGCACATATGTAGTTTTTGTGTTTTAGCGTTGTTACATCTGTCAGACAAAAGACACAATTATTTGTGTCTACATAAGTAAATTATCTTACTTTTTCTGAATCATTTGTCAGACGGTATTTATCATTTACATTAAATTGACATTTGGCACAACTCTTTGTGTCCAATAAAAGTTTGTGCTTTATGTAAATTGATTTGACGCAATTATTTCTGTTTTATACAAAAAGAGCACGAATAAAACTTATTTGTGCTCAATGTTAGAGAAAAGGGCACCATACCTATATTTGTGCTCTTAAGTTTGTAGTTTTTGACCAGTTTTTTAATACTGCATAGACGATTCCGATCATTGAAATACAATATGAGATAGGATGTTCGTGAATAAGCTTAGTCGAGAGAGATATATATATATATATACATATATATAATATTATTTTTCCTTTTATCAAAGTTGATTGTGGAGTGTTTTTTATAGGCTTGGTTTTATTGGCCTACGTACCATTAGTGCATTACTTTAGCATAGTGGCATTTTCTTCACTGAAAAGAGCGTTTTGTGTAATCTTAATTTCAGATCAATTAGGTTGCTGGACTACTACTATACTGGACATTTGAAGGATGATTCAGTATGATGAATATCAAGATCTTTGTTCTACTAAGTTTATTATTCATATAATGCATTCACTTAAGTTTTTTGAGCGATCAAAGTCTTTGTTCCTCACATACTTTAACATTGAAATTTTTTAATTTTTTTTTTTATCAATCACAAGAATTTATTTGATTGATCACATTTTTTATTTATAACACTTCATTTTGAAATGTTTTTTGTTTGATCGATCACTGCTACTTAGCTCAGTTCATTTTGTCCCCAAAAGAAGAAGATTTACATATCACATTTATGAAAAGGATTTTAATTAAGACAATTTTCTTCAACTATAAAAGTCTCTTTTTAGCAAAGGGCTTGTAGTTCAAGTAATTAAGAGCATTTATCCCTGCACCCGAGGTTCGGTTCCCCCTCGTCCAATAAGATTTTGTGGAATTGGATATGTTTTCCCTTAGCATACCTCAGATAATCGAATCTGACATTAGTTGATTCTCACACATATTGTATTTCACTTGTTTGGATTGTGGATCTGAATTATTGAGTCAATGGGTGTTACTTGCAGCTAGCACTCGTTTTGATTAAGGAATTTCTGATTTTGAAAATGAAGTCAGTTTGGGTTTCATGACTTCTTTCCTTTTATAGTTTTCACATAGTTGAAATCACGTCCATAATCTGAGTTTGTTGTTTCAATTAAGCAATCAAGTCTACTTAAAGGAATCGACATTTTCTCATTCAGCATTATAATTCTTTCTCTGCTGCTATCAACTACTTGATGATATTGCACTATGAAGAGATGGAAGAATCTTTTGCAAGGTGAACAATTGCAAACTTATAACTTATAGCTTATAGATTATTGTTTTGGGTGTGTGGCTAGCAAACTGTGAGGTTCATTTTAATT